ATATAATTTTATTAAAATCCCTTAAAATAATTAAATTTCCTAAAGAATTTCCTTAAAATTCCTGAAAATAATTGAATTATGCAAAAAATTTAATTAAAATTTCTGAAAATAATTAAATTTTTGCGAAAAAAATTATTAAAATTCCTGAAAGTAATTGAATTTCTAGCAAGAATTTTATTACTTTTCAATGCAACTGAATTCATGTAATGAATATTGTTATTTCTGAAAATAATTGAATTTTGTAAAGAATTTTATTAAAATCCCTGAAAATAATTTTCCAAAAAATATATTTTCAAAATTCAATTATTTCTAAAAATTCACGCTATATTGCTCTTTATATTCAATTATTATCTAAAATTTTACCCAAACCTCATTTCTAAATCAATTTTTATTAAAAAATTCTACTTGAATTCAATTATTTAAATACAAAAATAAATAATTTATTAAATAATTGAATTCGTTTGACAAATTTTAATAAAATTTTTAATAATAATTACATTAATCGAGAAATTCGATCAAAATTTTATTAAAAATATTTAAAATTCTGCAATGAGTTTTACTAGTTATTTATGAAAATAATTGAATTTCTAAAAAGAGTTTTATTATTTAAAAAAATAATTGAATCCCAGGGAGAATGTTATTATTTATCAAAATAATTGAACTGCATTGCGAAGAAATTTATAAAAAATTTGTAAATAATTGAATTTATTTGAAATTTTTATTATTTTATGAAAATAATATTGAAAATTAATAAATTGAGGAAAATTTTTTGAAAATAATTGAAATTTTGCCAAGAAATTTATTAAATTTTTTCGGAGAAGAATAATTGAATTTCGGAGAAGAATTTTATTATTTATAAAGATAATTGAAATTTTGACGACAATTTAAAAGAATGTTTGAACATAATTGAATTTCTGCTAAGAATTTTATTACTTTTAAAAATAATTGAATTTTGCAATAATTTGTAATTTCTCTAAAATTTTCCAAATTGTATGATACAATTTACGAACTTTTTATCCATTTTTAATCAAATTACGGACTTTACGGACCTTTTTTTAAAAAAACTGACTTTTGCGGACTTGAAACAAATTTACGGATCTTTACGGGATTTACGGACCTAGTTCGAGCCCTGCAATAACCATATTATAATATAACATATTAAAAAATTGACTCCAAGAAATTTCTATTCTTTCTAATTAAAAATCACTAAAATTTAGTAGAATTCAAGTAGAAATTCTATAGAATATTAACTAGAATTCATATAGAATGATTCTATAGAATGATTCTGGGAGGGACAAGTTTTTCGATCAATGGATGAAATTAATCACACTAAACTTTTGAATTTGTGAGAGAGTAAAGAAAAACAAAAGTGGGATCGACACTTTTGATGAAATTAATCAGAGAAAATTTTTTTGACTCTAGCTCAGCCCCTCTTTTTAGACTTTTATTCTTATCCCCCTCATATAAAAGCCGTCGACGATCAATCAGAATTTTCACACTCTCGGAATACCTTGATACACACTACATTCCTTCTTTCTGCTTCTTATATTATCCTCTCCATCAACATTAACGATATTATGAGCCAATATTCGAACATATTGAAGTTATCTTTGTGTTGTCTGTCATACATACAATATCATATCAATATATACCTAGATGACTCAGCATAAGGACACACATCCTTTTTCTGTTAATGCTTTGACCCACAAAGAAAAGTATTTCCATTCAATAGTGTTTTATTAAAACAGGCGACATGATTCAAGAAATTTATACTTTATCACAAACAGAAATAATAATTTACATTTCACAAAATTCATAAGTATTATGTCAAATATATTTTTAATTTTTAATCTTATTTTTTATATCAACATATTTTCTTTTTCTTTTTCTTTTTCTTTTTCTTTTTGCAATTATAAAAATAAAAATCTCGAGTGCCGTGTCTGTAGTAATCTTTTGGAGGATGAAAAAAATGATATTAGAAAGAATAAAGCACAAACTTTGTTAGAAACTTGTAGCAATTTTTTTCAAGAGTTCTCTGTATTTTTCCCCATAAAGTTTGAAGGCTTGTAACAAGTTTTGGTTGAACTCTCGTAAACACGTAATAAAGTTGGATCAATCTAACGAGAAATATCCACTCTGTCAAGAAGGAATATGTGTATAAAATTTTTGTTGTGATTTCCGTTTTAATTATAGAGAGAATTCAAGTTTAAAAAAAAGCAATAACATAATGGTTGACGTTTATATCGACAATGAAGGTATATAAAAAGAAAAACTATTTTTATGAAAACGAAACAACTTTTCCTTTTTGTAATTTATCACTCGGAAAACATAAAGTCAGTATGATTTGAGATACTTCCAAAAATAACCTATTGTTGTTTTCGCCCTTCGTACATTTATGTACATATATATCATACCAAAGTCTACGTGTTCTTTTCTTCATTTACAATATCAAGACTCATATTTTTATAGTATTTTTTAACTTTTTTCACTCATGAGTCCTTTTTACTAAATTTTTCCTACTCCTCTCGAGAGGAATTCATTTTTTACTCCGCTTTTAGGTTTAAAATCGTAATTTAGTATTTTTTCAAAAATTTACGTATACTATATAAAATATTAAGCTAATAAAATTTTAATGTCTTGTAAGCATATTTATGCGGGTAAGCTTCTAAATAGGCAGTAACTTTATAACCAACGATTGTGGATATTTTAATTAGTAGTGAAGCAAAAATAAGTTTATGACTTTAAAGATAAATTATGCTCTTAATCATATGAGGCACTAAAACTTTCAATTAATAAAAACCAATAAATTTATTTCAAAATTAAAAGTTTAAAAAAATTTCTAGAATCTTTTTGATGCTATAATAATTATTACATTTACTGCTCATCTGTTATAATGTAACATAAATAATTTCAAAAATGATCAACTTCGTCGAAGAGTGTAAAAACTTAATAATAAAATACTTCAGTGTAAGCAAGTTTCTGCTACATTACCTTAAGACTTATAAACTTTACTTGCTTAATAGCTAAATTAAACTATTAAAATTATACTGTAAGGAAATGAAGATCTAATTTTACGATAGTATCTACTTAAAAATTTCGAGTAAATGTACTAAGAAAATTTCAATTGCAAACAAAAAATTTTTAAAGTAAAGATCAAGTATGGAAATTTAAAAGCAATAATAGTGCAATTATTAATTCAATTATTTTCAAAAGTAATAAAATTCTTCGCAGAAATTCAATTATGTACAAAAAATTTTTAAAAAATTCTCGAAAAAATTTCAATTATCTTTAGAAATAATAAAATTCTTCTCCGAAATTCAATTATTTTCAAAAATTTTCCTCAATTCCAATGATTTTTAATATCTACCTACTATTTTAATAAAATTTTCTAAAAGAATTCAATTATTTCCATAAATAGTAAAATTTTTTACAGTGTTTCAATTATTTTCATAAATAATAAAATTCTTTTAAAAAATTCAATTATTGTTATAAATAATAAAACTCATAGCAGAATTTCAATTATTTTTAATACAATTTAAAATTGAATTCCACGAAAAATTCAATTCTTCTTACAAATTTAATAAAATTCATCAAAAGAATTCAATTCTTTAAAAGTTTGTTAATAAAATTCTTTATAAAAATTCAATTTTAAGAAACATTCAATAAAATAATTGAATTTTGAAAAGGTTTCAAAGTAAAATCTTTAAAAATGTGAAGAAAAATTCAGAGGAATTCAATTATTTACAAAATTTTTATAAATTTCTTCGCAATCATTCAACTAGTAACGTAAGATTTTCATTGTTCAGTACATTGTACGAAAGGGCAACATAAGCCCGTTTATATACTAAATAAATAAATAAATCATTCAATTATTTTCATAAATATATTAAAATTTTTACAGGGATTCAATTATTTTCGTAAATAATAAAATTCTTCTTAGGGATTCAATTATTTTTACAAATAATAAAACTCATCGTAGAATTTCAATTATTTTTAATAAGATTTTAATCAAATTTCTCAAAAAATGCAATTATTCTTAAAAATTTTATTAAAATTCGTCGAAAGAATTCAATTATTTAAAAATTTGTTGGTAAAATTCTTTATGGGAATTCAAGTCTAAGAATAATAATTAAAATAATTAATAATAATAATAAAAAATAAAAAGATTTAATTATTCAATAATTTTCTTATTTTTGTATTTAAATAATTGAATTCTCGTAGAATTTTCTAATAAAAATTGATTTACAAATGAGTTTCAGTTAAAATTTTAGATAATCTAATATAACGTGAATTTTTGGAAATAATTGGATTTTGAAATTAATTTTTTTGGAAAACTTTAATTGAATTTTTTTTATATTATTTGTAGTTTTTATTTTCTAATATAAATGTAATTGAAGAACTTCCGAATAATTGAAATTTCGTAAAATTGTATATTGTAAACAAAATAGATTTGAAAATTGTCAAAAAAGAATTTTAGTTAAAATTTTTGAAAATAATAATTGAATTGATAATAATTTTATCGTTTGGTTTTAATTATTATATAAAACATGAAGAAATCGTTATTGATATCTTCATGTTTTATAGTTATGAAAAATTTAATTTTTAGTTTGAAGTAAACTGTTTTCTCATTTGACTCGGACTGATTATATTTTTGTCAGTAATTGGTCCGTAAAATATGTATTTGTTAATACTTTCACTGATTTAAGCCCTTTAATTATAAACTTTAAAAATGTTGAAATACTTTTATTTTAGAAACTATTTGAAACTTATAAAGATTCGAATATTTCTTTCAATGAGAATCTTCGTTTTTGCAAACTTTCCAAAAATATAAAGAAATTTTCTAAAATTTATTTAGAAAAAAAATGATTAATTGAAAGCAATATTTTTTAAATTCAATTAATTATTAAATTAACTGCAATAATTTTCTAAGAATTTTGGTAACATTTTTTTGGTAACATTTCTGTAAACTTAATGTGAAATGTAATGTAAATGTTACAAACCAATTTTCAAAAATGAGTTGTTTTTGTTCCGGTGTTGGGTGCAACGTGTGAAAATTTGTTGAAATTGTCCCTCACGTTGGTAGCACACGCGTTCGAAGAGCGTTTTGATATCATTGTCGCGCAGGTGTGCAGCAAAAGTTTGCTCTCTTTCTGTGTTGCCCACGAGACTTAGAGAAAATTCGCGGCGTGAGAAAAGCGGCACCGGAAGTGACGCATCCCTTGTAGCGTCCGGTATCGAACTGAACCCCTCGCAGACTTATTCGCGATGTGCGCTGATTGCAAGGAATGCGCAGTAGGTGTCCCGGGAGGCGATCCCCATCCCCTCCTTGCCTCGCAATGACTGCCCCCCGACCTCTGCTACTGTTCTACGCGTATATGCACCCCTTATCTTCCAGCAAACTCTCATTCACTCGCAGCCTCTTTTCATTCCTATTTCTCTTCTTACAAGTCCTATCTATGCATTATACTCCAAGAGATTTAAAACACCAGCATTCTTTCATTTTTCAAATAAAAGTTTGCATTTGCAAAAAATAGAACTAAAAAGTATGAAAATAAAACCCTAAAATTCGCAGTATTGAGTGGAAGATATATAATTTTAACTCATCGCTGTCTACAATATTTCAGGGTTACCACAAAAAATTAATTTTCTTTTTCCTCACTTTTCCCTAATTTACAGAAAAAATTTCCACTTCTTCCCTGACCCTAAAGAATATTCTGATTCACTCTCCGAGTCAAAATTATTATTGTTTCTCCATAGGAATTAAGTCTTTCAAAATTTCAAATTCAAACCTTTTTAAAATTCAACAACTTCTAAAAATATTTTATTATAAAACGTGAAGATATGACTTCTTCATGTTTTATATTAATTAATTCAAAATTATTTTATTAATTTCAATTCAATTATTATTTTCTAGAATTTTTAAATGAAATTCTTCTCAATTATTTTTAACAATTTTTTATACACTGTAAAAAATTTAGGGAGTTAACGGACTCGGAAGTTGGGAGTGAAATTTTTCCAGTTAAAAATCAACTCCAAAAGAGAGTTAATTTCTAACTCCTTTCATTCAACACCCGCGCGAGTTATTTTTTTCTTGGGGAGTTAGCATTTGGGTGTGAAGTTTTAACTCTCTTTATTTAACTCCCCTGGCATTAACTCCCCAATGGGTGCGACTTTTATAGAATCCCCTGGGGAGTTAAAATTTAACTCCCTTTTTTTACAGATAGAGTTCTTTCGAGAATATTCAAATCCATTATTGTTAACAATTCAATTTTACGTGAAATTTCAATTATTCGGAAATTACGTTAAAATTTTTAATGAAATTCAAATTTAAATTCATTTTATTAAAAATTTCTACGAGAATTCAATTATTTCAATAGAAAAATAAATAATTTATTGAATAATTAAATGTTTATTGCAATTGAATTCTTTCGACAAATTTTAATAAAATTTTTAAGAATAAAAACATTTTTTGAGCAATTCAATTAAAATTGTATGAAAAATATTTGAAAATCTGCGATGAGTTTTATTATTTATGAAAATACATAATGGAATTCCTAATATGAATTTTTATTATTTTTGAAAATAATTGAATCCCTGTAAAATATTTTATTATTTATGAAAATAAGTAAATTATTACGAAGAAATTAATAAAAAAAAATTGGTAAATAATTGTATTGAAATTCTTTGAAATTCAAATTTTCAAAGATTATATTCTGAAACCTTTTTCATTATTTCATTCAATTATTTCTAAAAACACACGCTATAATACTTTTAATATTCAATTATTATCTACAATTTTAAATCAAAATCATTTTCATTGAATTGAGGAAAAATTTTGAAAATAATTGAATTTTTGCATAGAATTTTATTAAAATCCTTCAACAATTTAGAAGTTTAGAGAAGAGTTTTTATTATTTATAAAGATAATTGAAATTTTTACGAGAATTTATTTTTAATTTCTGATCAAGAATGAATTTCTGTTAAGAATTTTACTACTTTTGAAAATAATTAAATTTCTGCAATTATTTGTAATTTGTAACTTATCAAAAATTCAATTTTTTAGTGTTTTTAACTCAAATTTCTTCTATAAATTCATTATTTTTTTATAATTAAATAAATATATATTAAAAAATTAAACTATTTCGAAAAGAATTTTAATTATGTATTAAAATTTTCAAAAATCTAAATTTTTTAAAATTTCTAATAAAATTCATTCAAAATTGAAATTTTCTAAAAATTAAAATTAAAAAACCTTTCGAAGATGAAAATTGTAAACGCAACTCTTTTAAAATTCAATTAATTTTTAAATATTTAAGTAAAATTATTCATTAAATAATTTATAAGTAATAATTTTATGATAATTCTTCAAAAATCACGTTATTCAAAAAGAAATTATTGACGGAGATGGAAAAAATTGAAGGTTTTGTATTAGAATTCATGGTGATTTCATAGTTTATAAAACAATTAAAAAAGACACCAAAATTCAAAATTTTCTTATCAATTCTAAAAATTAAATATTTTCCAGTACTTTTAATAAAAATGCAAAAAATTTTATTAAATTTTTTGGCAATAATCTAATTATTGAGAAGAATTTCGCTACCTATTTATAAAAACAACTTAATTCTTGACGAGAATGTTTAAAAGATTTAGAAAATAATTTAATTTCTGCAAAGTATTTTATTCCTTTTTAAAAGAATTTAATTCTTCTGATGAATTTTAATAATTATCAAAAGAATTGCACGGAGAAACTTTTTCTTATAATATTAAATATATTTGGTTATGTTTATTCTAAAAGTACGTTAGAATGTGAGGATTTTTCGTGCGTTGTGCTAATAATTTCAACATTAATACGAAAATATGATAAGTTCGTTATATATTAAGCAACCTTCGGTTTACAAAAATTACTATCTGCATTAGAAATAGTCTTATTTTTCTTTAGAAAAGAATAAAATGCTAGTTTTTGTTTGTGAAATAATACGGTAATTCTAACCTTTTTTCCACATATAGATAGAATATATAACAGACATTCTAACGTAACATACCAATTTTGGAAGGACTGCGGGCGGACTTAACCGATTTCGCCCGAGCATCACCGAGTCCATCACCTGACGTCGCGAACTAACCCTAATGTTTTCGAAGTTGAAATTCACACGTGTATGAAAGAAAAAAACCTTTTATTAATAAACGTGAATGTCTCCTTATGCCAAATTAAATTCAAGAACTGTTCCTCAATATAACATAATTTTTTTCACGACTTTTACTTATTTACATAATTTGATTAGTAAGTTATTTTAAAAAATGCTCTCTCTCGAAGGCACATATTTTTCCACTCGTTTAATATATAAGGACGATTCAGCTGTGTACTTCTAACGAATCGTGCGATCTTTCGGTTTCCGTGACCAATCGTCGTGTCTTTACTTGCGTGTGCGTGTGTGCGTTATTAATATAGGTTAGGTTCTTACGTCGTGTTAAATATATTTACCTACAGTTACAGTGACATTCACTAATGCCATCTACCATCAGATCCAAGTATCACTATCGTCTCTATGAGTATCTATAGACAATTAATTTGTTGTGTTTCTTTTTAATTCATGGCTTTCCCAACTTTGCAAAAATTATTATTTTCTTTCTAAAACAACATACTAATTTTCGTTAGTTTCCTTATGAAGAACTGTAAAATATATACTGAATGAGTGTTTTTGATAGTCTCAATAGCAATTTCTATAACCTATGTCGTTTTTCCCTTGAATCTAACCTAACATACTAAAATGTCTCACCAGTTTTAAGAATTAGTGGTATTAAAAGTTTCTCCGTGTGGATTTTAGAAGAGAATTTTATTAAAATTCCTTAAAATAATTTATTTTAAGTGAAGAATTTTGTTGTTTATCAAGATAATTTAATTCTTTTGCAGAATTACTTAACAATTTTTGAAAATAATTGATTTTCTACGACGAATTAAAAAGCTAATTATGAAAATAATTCAATTATTAAAACGAATTTTAATATTTTATTGAATAATCGAATGTTTCTTAAAATTGAATTCATTCGTCAAATTTGAATAACATTTATTAATTAAGAATAATTGCATTCTTTTAGCAATTTATTTAAAATTGTATTAAAAATATTTGAAATTCTGTGATGAAAATAATTGAATTCCTAAATGAAATTTTATTATTTATGAAAATAATTGAATGTTTTTTTCGTAGAACCGTATCAAAATTTTATTTAAATTTTTGAAAGTAATTGAATTTTTGGCAAAAAATTTTGCTGTTTATAAATACAATTAACTTTTAGACAGGATACTAGTTAGAATTTTTGAAGATAATGGAATTTCTACGAAAAACTTTATTACTTTTAAAAATTATTGAATTCTTGTGATGAATTTATGAAAATAATTCTATACTTTGCAAAAAATTTTATTAAAAATCCTACAAATAATTGAATTTCTGTGAAGAATTTTGCTATTTATGAAGATAATTGCGTTAAAACTTTTGAAATAAGTAAATAATATTAAAAAATTTCTACTTTAAATTCCCTGTTTTTTCTTAAATTTCCTAACCTGTGGCAACCTTTTAATTATCTAAACTTATCTGCTAACCTTAAAGCGCCAGGTTATTTCTTAATAATATTTTATGAAGATGATTAAATATAAAGATGATTACTCACCGATAACAATTTGACATCCAGGGTCCCAATTTTGTAGTAGATGTTGAAATTTTACAGGAACTGCAGAAAAAGTTGAACCTCACTTATTGAGCACCGCAATGAGAATGACAGAACTCGTAAAAAAATTTTCCATTGGTGATCTCTCTCGAACAGCGGGTGATAATTTAATTTTTAATGATCTGTAATAAAAAATTTTACAAACATAAACTAAGCAATATTGAAAAATTAAAACTAAATCACATTATTAATACTAAACAATTTAAAATTATATTTTCAGACTTGGAAATATTTTGAATTAAATTCCTTAATCAATTCTGGAAGATTTAATGTGCATCTTAACAAGATTACTAAAACAAAGCTTTTAATCAATTTAAATCTTAGCTTAACCTGGCCGGAACGTTTCGAAAATTCAAATATCTTATAGGACGTACACCATCTACAAGAGACTGAAGCAGAATTTACATTTACTCAATGAGTGTATTTCATTTGCAATCGTAGTTCAAGGGGTTGGGAATTTTTTCATTTTTATTTGCTCTAGAAATAAAAATGAAACCACTTTTAATTAATTTGCGTTAATTAGAAGAAATTTTTCTCTTAAATCTGTCGAATACATTTTTCATTATACGGATACAATTATTATATTCAGTATAAAATATTTTTAATTATGTAATTTTTCCTCCTAGAACATATCTCTTTTCGAATAAGGTACTTAAGCTCTTCTAGTATTTTTATTTACGTTGATACTAATGGGAAAATTTAAATAATTATTCCGAGTCGTAGTCTCTGCAATTATTCCGGTTAATTATCTTTCAGTTAAAATGTTATTTTTGTGAGAATTGACTCAAAAGTGCGAATTCACTTTAAGAAGATATAGGGTTTCTAATTAAAGAAGGGTTTCTCCGCGTAGGTATTATAGTAATATAACAGACTATAGATAGTTATTTATAGAGAATTTGATCCTTTAGTGAAAATTACTTTTTCACTGACGTTGGAAAGTATACAAAGTTTTCTGTAAATGTTTGTAAGTAATTTTTTAGTTTTATTCAAAAATAAAGTATGGTTAGTTAAAACTTGAAATATTTATGGTCGCTAAGTTTTGCTAACTGTCGTTAACCTATATCTTAATATTTCTCTACAAAATTCTATCTATTAAAATATAAACTTTAAACTAGCAAGGGGAAAATCCATTTTTCTTTTTTTGTGTACACAAAAATCTGCATAGTTCCGACATGAAATGTGGAATGTAAACTTTTCGCAGTAACTGAGAGTTTCCAATATATAAAATAGGGACTAAAATTTTTATCACGAAACAGTATATTTTTTTCCTCTTTCTCTGATCTAATATCGGTGTACTTGTTCTTATGGCACAAAGCTATATCTATGTAGGTGGAAACAAGACTTTTTATTATCTGAATAAAAATGGATAGTAGTACATCAGCGAAAAAGGGTGAGGGGATGATGTTACAGTGTTATTTGAATCTTGTATTTATGTGTGCAGTGTGCATGTTGTATATTTGTATTTTAACAAAGCCATGCCCCGTGTGGAAATTGCCCGACTTCGCCTTATTTAAATAAGGGCACTGATGAGGATTTAATGAGGCCAACCCCACTAATAATGTCTAGATAGGTGATAATAGGGCACTGACTAGAATGCCTTCTTTTTCCAAATAGGAAAATCTAGCTGGATCTATTTATGCCCCTATTAAATATTCACAGGAAAAAAAAAGTCTGACTCCGTTTACAACTTAAATTCAGCCCATGTATTTCACATAAGTCTGTCCTTGTTTAACGGGGCTGACTCCGTTTACATCTTAAATTCAGCCTCTAAAATAGGCTGAAAGTAAAACTTTTTTTTTTAGTGTGTTTCAATCAGGACTAGAATGCCCTTTTTGTCTGAACAGGGAAATCTATCTGGTATCTATTTATGCCCCTATTAGGTATTTTAATTAATTTTCAATTTCATTGACAAATCCCAATTTCTAAATAATAAGCAACGAAATTATCAGAAAAATAGTTCTAAACGCATATTAAAATACTATTTAAAGTTTAAAAACTATTTGAGCAAAAATATTTACGATTTTAAAAATTCGAAATATTGCACTTTTTCTCACAAGCGCTAAAGAAATGTTCTGTTTAGTATATAAGGACGATGAGAAAGTAGATTCATAGCGTGCGAGTTAGTGTTAGTTATGCGTTAGTGTTAGTGTTAAGTTAGTGATAGGTTGATTGGTCGAAACAGTGTTGTTTACATGTGTGTTTGTTCAGTGACTTGTTCAGTATTACTGGCGCAATATTACGCCTGTCGTAAATTTTTGCTTTGGTATTTAGAAAAACTAATAAGACGCTAAAGAGGCCCTCTAGTTAAATCCCCACATTGTGCTTTTCTATTCAGGCAGTGACAAGGCAATCTAGTTAGAACTTCTCTATCTTTCCACATCATCACCTGATATTTCAAGCGTGACGAAATTAGACGGGTCCTGACTAATTTTCCTAGTTTGCGCCTCACTAAACGAAAGGGCGTCTATTCAGGGCCTTACGAAGTCCTATTTTCAATTTCTACACGGGTGTCGGACAAATGAGAAAGAGGAATCAACTAAAACAAAGTTTTCGAGTTCCTCACTACTAATAAATGTAACTTACTGTGATTCTAACTTCATTATGCCACTGCTAAATTATAGATTCATATTTACACAAAGCCGGAAGGCAGAGAAAATCTTTAGTTAATATTTTCCTTTAATCAACATGACCTCACCTTCAGTAAACATAATCTAGTATAATAAATACTTTTTTCTATTTTCTCCATTTCTTAAATAATTATTTTTATTGTGAAAAGAGTAAATATGCTAATTAGTTAAACGAAGAAATATATAAAGTATTATCAAGAAATAACCTGGCGCTTTAAGGTTAACAGGAAACAACTTTTGTTATTTGTCTTGAAATTTGTACAGCACATTTAAAATTGTATAGGTATTGTTATTATTAATTATTAAGTTAATTAATCCTCGTATTCTTTCATTCATTCTGCCCTATTATATTATTCTTTACTATTATTTATAATTATAATAATATTAAAACTACATATTCCAATTCATATTTTATTTTAGTAAAAAAAATTCGAATTAAAACTTTGTACGTTATATTATTTTTAAAATTGCTAATTTTATTTTTAAAAAAGTGTTTTCGCTAGTTGTTTAATTAAAAACAATTCACGAAAAGTATATAAATAAAAATAATTTTTCCAACTGATTAAATATTGATAAGCTTATTACAATGAAAATGTTTCTGAATATCTAGTTAGGGAAGATGAATTGTTTTGGGAGATGAAAATGTGGACATGGTGAATTATTGGAGAATCTTGTTCACGTAATGAAAGTGATCGGAAATAGACCACTTGAGTAGTTGCGGATAAATGGATATATTAGAATGGAGCCGTGAGGATAAGATGAGTTCAGGAAATGAAGTTATTATATGCAATTGACAATTATGTTGCAAACGTGACCTGGATGCCTCGTCGCACGAATGATCAAAAGCAGGTGACAAATGCCAACACTGTCCCCCTGCTTTGTATGTTAAATGTACACACTTGTGTCGACACACATATATATATATATATATATATATGTATATATCTTCGTCATATTCGAAGGTTGATGTGAACCAAATCAATTCCTCTAAACACTGACCGATATCTACCCAGCATATGTAATCACCATTCCCACCTGGACAAATCTGCATTTAACGGTATTTTGCATTAATTACACCTATACATTATACTGACAAATGGCAGATATTTCATTTTGGTCTCTAACTTCTGTTTTGCGGAAAATAAAATCATTCATTTTGTCTACAAGATACTAGTTTATTAGACAAATAAAAAAGACTTCAAGGAAGACCAGAATTATTTTAATAAAATAAAACGTGCTGATTATTCTAATATTGCGTAGGAATTTACAAATAAGGAAATAAAAACAAATCCCCTTTTAGATGCTCCAGTCAATTGTGATGAAATCGTAAAAGAGGGCAATTAGTAAAAGCTGAAAATAATGAAGTCTTAGTATACATGGAATATATATAAATTTATAGCTTCTACATCTGAGAATTGAAATCTTAAAATTTAATCCCTCTTCAAAAAAAAAAAAAAAATACAATAAAAATTTTACTGATTCTTCGAAAGATTTCAAATAAAGAATTTAATATTACGATTCAAAAATAAATTTATTTCTATACAGTAGACAATTTTTCCCCAAAAAAAAATAATTGACTTCTTCTCTTAATATTCATGAAAAAAAGTATCACGATTTTCCATAAATTGAAAAATATTCTTTATTTCACCTAATACTTAAACTATTACATTATAGTAAACAATTAATAATAAATATTTTGATATCCTTCTAGGATTGCTTTTAAATTTTTATTAATTTCCTTAATTTCCAAATCGGCAATAGAGTAGAAAATTTTCTGCAATTTCCGTGTGATAAAATCTTTGGAAAAATTCGATACAACTTTGACAACAGTATTGAGAATTGGATCTATAATATGTCCTTCAAACTGTAAGTCATACTTGCTGTAAAACAAAAGATAATGTTAACAAAAATTTATCAAAAAATTCTTTCTTATTCTATTTTACAAGAAGAATTTTTATAATTATTGTACTTTGGATACTTGCAATCATTAATCAAAATACTATTCATTTTGTTATCGAAAAAAAATTTTAATTGATAAATATTGATATAGAATTTAATTATATAATTACACTCGAAAAAATTATGTTAAACTAAATAGTAAGCAAAATAATAATTGTAAATAATTGATTATAAAATAATTATAGAATTACCCAGAATTTTTGAATTTCACTTTTTCTAATTTAACTTCTGTTGTTTCAAAGTCAACCATGATTTTAAAGTAGATATCAGCTTTGGTTACAACTCCGTGAATATTTCCTTTTCTTTTGTACAATAAATATTCAAAGAGATATCGATAATCAAACTAGAACAAAAGAAGAGAAGATGTAATTGATAAAAAATTGGGAAATAGAAATATTACAAGAATAAATAGAATATTTTCCTTACTGATAAATTTTGCCATCCTAAATTCATTTCTATGGTTAGTTTTTTGTCTGAATAAGTCAGGTGTGAATTTCCAATTCTTTCAATGTGAGACAATTGTTGTAGCCAACCGTCAGTTAAAGAAATTTTTCCTTTAAAAATTCCTGGCTGAAATGTAAAGAAAAAAAAATAATGTGCCAGGAAACGAACGCAGGACCCTTTAGGTTAAGATACCGATGACTCGAACCACTTGACAACAACACACTTATTTAGAATTCGTTCCAAAAAGACAGGACAACGTAAAAAAGATCGATCAATATTCCTTTATATTTTTAACTAGAAAACTTTCCCCTTTTTACTTTTTATAAAAAGAACTTTTTAATGAAGTTCATTTATATACTTATTTTTTATTGTTCTCACTTCATTCTATTTTCTCACTTTAGCAAATACAGATCGATGAAAGTTTATATATATTATAATCTGGAAAAATTTGCAAATATGAATTTTAAAAAGGATTTTGTTAAAAGAAACGCGACAATCATTAAAATCTTATTTGCTTTTTAAATCTTTGAATTTAAATATTGAATATTAAATACCGTTAAATTCTTTTTCTAAATACAAAAATGCAAACGATTGTGCACGATGGGAACAAAATAGAAAGAGGAGAAAGAAAATATTTTTAAATTTCAAAATATCGAAAATAAAAAAAATTTTCTAATAAAAAAATATCTAATTTTTTTTACGAAAAAACAATTTTCCAGAGAAATTTTTTATTCGAGGTGTTAAAAAAATAGAGAAGGAGACGAAAAAAGTATGAAATGTAAATATAAAATCTCACCAAACCTATTACTGGAATTGTAGTGTCATCCAATTCTAGTGGATCCATACCACTCGAAATTATGGAACCACGAATTTTTGGTAAATTTTCATCTATTAATTTGTCAAAATTTGCCTCGACAGTAACTTTCCTTTTCATTCTTCTGTAATATAAAAAATATTTCCTAAGCTATTATATAAATATAATAAAAAAATTGAAAAATTTGAAAAAAATACATAAATTTAATAATTTTATTTTAAAACCTAGAAAAATTAAAGTTCATTAATTTTTAATAACAAAAATCAAATTTCTGTCATTCTAAAAAAATAGAATTGAAAACTTTTTCTGAACAATTAAAAAATTTTTGCAGAAAGTTTTGAATGTTTATAAAAGTACTTGGAAAAAGAAGAATAAAGTTCTGTATAAATTAAAAACAAAAAACAAATGAAAGTGTAATAATAACTTACCGGAGAAGATTAATAAGTCCATCAGTTTCATTTATTTTCTCCGCATTCCCAGCACAAATGAAAATGAACACAATAAAAATAATGTTATACATTTTTTTTTCAAACAACATTCTAATTTTCTTACTTAATAAATTTACGTTACACTTGAAAATAAGTGTATAAATATCTATCACTTGTTATTTATTGAAAAATTTCTGGTTTTACTTTATCTTATCAAACTTTCATGATTTAATATAGAGATATATAGACGCAGAGCGGAAAGAGTATTAAATATAGAAATGTGGACCACAAAAAAAATAAAAATTAGTCAATAATTAAAATATACGTGTTTATTATTATTTCTCTTGTAGCGAAAATTTTCAATTAAATTTAAACAAGGCACTTAAAACGAAAATAAATTGAAATAATTATGTATGTTAACGAATCATTTAAATTTTATTCAAAATCAAATTATATTAATTTATTTAATATTCCCTTTTTGTTAAAACGTTTTTTTTCAATTATTTTTTTAATAAAAAAGTCTAAAAAATGCAGCAAAAATTTCTTTGGTAATTAATATGAAAATGAAAACATATGACAAAAAATTTGGTCCGCCTTTTTTTATGCTTATTACAAAATAATTTATTTAATCTAATTATTAGATTTATAAATAAAATATTTCCACTTGTGATGAGAATATAAAATTGTAAAGTAAAAACGCTCACTCTAAATCTGAATCAGTGAAAATTTCACTGATTTCAATTCAGTGGCCCAGTTTTCTTTGATGAATCAGTGGAATTTCACTGACAATCAGTGGTTTTTACTGATTCTCAGTGAAATCCCACTGATGAATTAAAGAAAACTGGGCCACTGAATTGAAATCAGTGAAATTTTCACTGATTCAGATTTAGAGTGCTCGTAATGAATATAAATAGTCATTATCAAAATGAGAAATATTTCCTTTCTCAATAAAAAAAAATTTTAATTAATAATTTTTTCAAAAAAAATTATTAATTAAAATTTTTTTTTATTTGTTTCTGATTATTAAAAAATATATCATTAAATACAGTAAAAAAGGGAACATTTTTACTTTATAAAAAATGTTAAATTATAAAAAAAAAGAAAAAAATAATATTTTTCCATAAAGAATATCTTTTTAGATTATTAAAGTTTTGTCAACTGTAAAAAAATATTTCATTGATGTTCTTCATGCGCATATAAATTTCTTGCGACACTGTTTTCTCGCTGACTTGAATTATTTTTTTCTTATAAAATGGTAAAAAATAATTCACTATTTTCGATGCGAATTTATCGAATATCGGTAAACTATTATTTAGCGTAACATGCACAGATCTATAAAAGAAAAATTAATTATTAATAATAAACATATTAAAATTATTAATAAATAAATTTTTGTTAAGATTACAAATTTTTTTCTTAAATGCATATTTACTCAATATCGAGAATTGTAAATTTTTCCAAATCGACAAATTGCTTTGTTAAATCCAATGTTAGGAGTAAATTTGACAATACATTTGTTACGTTTGCGATTAATTTTCCACTGTGCCAAAAAAATGGAAATATTGTCGTTAGAAAATCGTAATTGAATATACACTATAAAGAAAATTAGGAATTAAAAAAGAGAAATTTGTAAATTTTAAATATTTTAATTTTCAAATTCTTTTTGAAAATTGTAGCTTCTATTTTTGTTAATATGTAATTACTTTTTTTTTTATTAATAAATTTTTCAGTTTTAATTTTTTAAGTTTTTTTACTTTAGTTTTTCTTACTTAGAAGCGAAATTACTTACTAATAAATAGGAATTAATAATAGTGACATTAAGTTGTATGAAATTGTTTGTCGAAAAAGATATAAATGCATCTCCCTGACGTTCTAATTCAAAAATATATTTTATTCTTCCTTTAGTCAAATTTATTCGAGCAGTGCAATTAAGAAACAGTGCTTTCTACAAAAAGAATAATTTCATTTAATAACAAATTATTTCAAATCTGGAAACAAAACTGAAAAAATACCGCAAATACCATGATGAAAGAAACTGTTAGAATTTATTGATTAAAAAATTAAATTAAAATAAATAAAATTCAAGAAAAATAATAGGAGAATTAATTAGATTATATAAACAATTATTTAACTGATAAATATTAATTTTGTCTAATTCTTCTTGAATTATAATTTTAAATAATTTAATTAATTTTAATTAGTTGCTTATATAAATAAGAAAAATTTTATTTTTCAACAAATAAATTTTTTCTTTAAAAATAAATATAGTCGATTCAGAAGTAGGTAATGACCTTGAACTTGAGTTTTTTAACTTATATAACTTTATTACGTTAGTTCAGTTGTCGTGAAATTATTTTCACTCTTATACTTTCAGCGAAAGTCTAAAAGTCTAGAATTTCACTTTCAATGACCTCGTTTAACTATATAATCTCTAATATAAAAATAATAAAGAAATTCTATTTAGTAAATAGCAATAACTAATTCAATAAATAAATAAAAATAAGAAAAATAAAAATAAATAAAAATAAAAAAATGAATAAATGAAAATAAAACAAATGAGAATAAAAAAATAAAAATAAAGTAGGTAAAGAATAAAGATAAAAAAAACTTTTTTTTAGAAAAATAAAATTAGTAAAAATAAAGAATCTATTATTGTCAATATTTTAGCAGCTGTGTAATTTCTAATTATGAAAGAATTGAAAAATGTAACCATTCTTTCCCATTTTTGTTTGTTATTTTTAATTTGAAAAAAAATGAATGAACTTTTCAAGTTGATGTGTAAACAAAAAACAAACGAGGCTCGTTTAACTGAAATTCTATAAATCAAAGGATCACTTTCGCTTCCTCGCTCGACCCGCTGACCTGAAATCTTAGTTTTCGTCCTCAAGACCCACAGCTTTCGCTTGAAAATTTGGGTCAGTTCAGACGAGAACTACTTTCCTACTTTTCACATATATAAGATCCAGTCTCATTATTGCTTTAGACTTGAGGTCATTTCTATCGAGAGCGATCACTTTCGATTTCACTTAAGGAAGTCAATTTTATACGGACAAACATAAAACAGATTCCGGTTTAAAACAATTTTCAATCTGTGGATAACATTTATTTTTATTATCTCAAATAAAGTGCAATTAATTAAGAAATTATTAAATAATTCTCAATATCCCTCGTAATCTAAATATCTACTTAATTTAAAATTTATGTAAATGAAGAAAATTTACTTTAATCGAAAAACCCTTATCAAATAAATATTTGCTTGAATCAAGTAATCTCAGTTTAATCCAACAAATATTTACTTGAATAAAATAAATTTTATTTAAATCAAATAAATAATTATAATTTTTCATAAAATTAATAATTCCCAATATTAATAATTCTATTTTCAAATTCTTTATAATTTAAAATAAATTTTATTTTCTGATTGAAAATTGACAGAAAAAAAATCTTTCAAAAAATGAAAAATTTTCTTCCATGTTCTGTCTGCGTAAGTAAAACGAAAAAAAGAAATCAGTAAAATAAAACTAATTTATACCATCCAAATCACATCGGTGATATTGTGAACATCTATTGGATCAATTCCGATTTCTTTCAAATTACTCAAAACTGATGGCATAAAAAGATCTGTATAAGTATTCGCATAAATCCAATACGCTTCGTGATCCCAATTTGATTTTTTCCAATTTCTTCAGAGAAATAAAAACATTAATAATTAAGAAAAAAAATTCATCGCAAAAATCGAAATATTGCGTTTTATAAAAGAATTTTTTTATTCTTATATAAGCAAGTAAAATTTGTTATTTATAATATTTTTGCATAGTTTGATTTTGATTGTAGGTACTTTATATTTTAAATAAAAATGAAGTTCAAACGCAGTAAATTTCAAATTAACAAATAATTTTAAAAAATAAAATTCTTTTCTTCATTTACCTAAAATTGGGCAATTTATTTTCACTGAAAATTAATTTCGTTGAATTGTCAGTTTCATAAACATATGGAAATGAGAAAATTTCATTTTCCTTATAACATTTACACTTAATTGGCGACTCAACAATACGGACAATTGCAATAATTTCCACCAATAAAACAACAGAAAGCGTCATAATTCCGTCTGTTATTTAGGTAAAAAATTCTGTTAAAGATTTAAAGAATATGTATAGTTTAAAATTATTTTAATATTTGATTTTTCTATTTTTTGGTGCTAAAAACAATTTTTTTTAATATGGAAAATATTTTACTAAATTATATTAAATATTTTAAATGGATAAATATCAATATAAAATATTTATTTATTTTATGTATTTATTTAATACATTCACAATATTTATTTATTTATTTATTTATTTATTCAAACATGTTAATATTACCTTAGAAAGAAAATTTTTATCGCATTGTTTGGTACTAATTACTCTCGAATGGAAAACTTTTTCTTGTCACAATTTTTTATTTTGCTTGAGTTAAAACCAACAGTTTATTTAGAATTACTTATCCTTTTTTATGCAAAGAAGTGTCATGATCCATGTTCAGCTTTTTGCCACCTATTCTTTTTTTTGTCTTTAATTTTTCGTCTTTTTTTTGACGACGAGAAAACGTATAGATGTATACTATTAGCAGACTGAATATTTTCGAAACAAATGTTGATATGACAAAGTTTACAGCCAAGGCCGCAAATAGCAATGACAAAATAATTTAAAAAAGAAAAAGAAAGAAAAAAAGTTAGTGGACAACTTTTTTTAAAAATATATTCTGGAAAATGAATTTTTTACAAATATTTTGTACTTTAGCAAAGATAGAACACTATTCAGTGTTGTAAAATATAAATAAAAGTAGTTAATAACGAAAAAAAGGTATTTAGAAAAAAATATTCAATTGTCTGAACGAAACACTCTGTTTCTACTTACAGAATGAATAGTCACTAAAAAGCGGAAGTAGAAAGAGTTGTTTTCGGTAAGACAGAAAGAATTCTCTCCTTTCTATAAAGTTCATTAGAAAATTATTTATTGTTATATTATATTAAAAATCTGACGACTATTATAGTAAATTATTTCATTATTTTATTTTATTATTATTTCACTATTTTATTACCTACTTTTTATTTAATTTAATTATTTTTTTACTTTATTGTTTAGTTATTTTATTGTTTTATTACTTTATTATTTTATTCTTTATTTTATTATTTAATCTTTATATATATTCTATTTTTTTTTATTTTACTTTTTTATTTTATGATTAATATTTAAAAACTTACATTTTCTGTCCTATTCACAGCGCTATCAAACGAAAGTTTTATGAACTTTGAAGAATATAAAACTTAGCTCTACCGATTGTACAGAAATCTATATTAGGTATATTAAAAATATTTAGCGAAAATTAATTAATTAAATTAATAATTAATTTTTTTCTAATCATGACAATCTTTTAATCATGATTTTTGCATAATATGCAAAAAGATAGTTTTTGCGAAAAAAAATGAAAAAAACTAGTTTATTTTCTGAAAAAAAATTTTTTAATAATAAACAAAATATTAAAAAACGAGTAAAATGTTCCTGCACATTATAATATTTCGGCAATTTTGTTATAACAATATTTTATAAAAAAAATAGTTTAGAAAATTTTTTAAAAATATTTTATAAAAATCTTTTAAAAAATATTTTATAAAAACCTTTTAAAAAATATTTTAAAAAGAATATTTTACAAAGTATTTTATAACAAATATTTTAGAAAGTATTGAATAAAAAGTATTTTAAAAAATATTTTATAGCAAATACTCTACAGAGTATTTTATAAGAACTATTTTTAAAAATATTTTATAACAAATACTTTAGAGAGTATTTCATAAGAATAAGAATTTTTAAAAAGTATTTCATAAACAAATTTTTGTAAAAATATTTTATATTATTTATGTCACGAAGTATTTGATAAAAAATAATTACAAAAAACATTTTTAACAAAAGGCAAATATTTTATAAAGTAGATATATTTTTTATAAAAAATATTTTACAAAGCATTTTATGAGAAATGTTTTAAAAACCATTTCATAAAAACTGTTTGTAAAAATATTTTAAAAAGTACCTAGGTATTTTATTAAAAATGTTTTAAAAAGTATTTTATTAAAAATGTTTTAAATAGTAATTTAGTAAAAATGTTTTACAAAGTATTTTATTAGAAATATTTTACAAAGTATTTTATTAAAAATGTTTTAAAAACTGTTTGCAAAAATATTTTAAAAAGAATTTTATAAAAAATATGGAAACGAGCAAAATAATTGTTAATAATTCTTTTGCAACAAATACATAAATTAGAAAAATGATATCATTACCCTAGTCAATATGAAAACATGCAATTAAGAAAAAAAACATCTACGGAATGTGTTTTCTTTTAATTTAAAAAATATTGACTCCAATAAATGACGCGTCAAAAATGATTTGCTATATATATTGAAAGGAGAATGATATTTGACCACGTGGTACTTACACAGAGTTGAAAAACATTCTTGTTTGTCACTGAATTGTAACCTTCAAAATTATATAGAATTCTCCAATCAAATCCCGACTTTTGTGGGTGTGCTGATGACGTTTTAAAATTTTTTACTAAAGCGTCATTTCTACACATTTTATATAGTTATATATTTACTCAAATATTTCTCTTTACGAAATAAAATACGTTATTGCGTCAAACGAATGAGAATCTTTCATTTCTAACTATTTTTTTCATTATTTCCTCTATTTCCTCTATTATGATAGTATTTTTGATTTTCAGAAATATTATCTGAATAAACTGAATATTATTTATCTAATATAAATATAGAGGAAATGATAATATTTCTGAGTAATATTAAGACAATGTTGACTAAATGTTAAGGGGTAATATTGACAATAATTCCTGGTCTTGCAATATTACCCCGTTGACGTTGGGGTAATTTTGCAAGTCACAGATTTCTCTCTATGTTTTTTTTAACAGAAACGTGACATACGTGAAATTATTTGCATTCAGTACAATAGTTTTAATAAATAATAAAAAAAAGTTTTTTCCTTTGTTTAGCTTCTATATTAATAATAAAATCTCTAGTTAGTAATATGATGCAGCAAATGAGAGTGTAAAATATCAGGTCGTTGACTTAAAGACGCTGATGGTATAATGACGTACATTGTAAAATATAATGTATTTCCTTTCTCCAGGCGAAGCGTAAAAATTTAAAAAATATATATTCTAGATATTTTTCTCTGCGGCTTTATTCTTTCCTTAGATAAAATTACGTGCTTCCGCATGAAATTAGGTGCAATAAACAAGTAGCGTTTATCTTTCGATAATTTATCAACCGACCACATTTGAATTGTCATGTATATTATATCTAAAATGAAAATAACGATTCTTTAAAAACAAAATAGAATAGATATTAAAAAATGGAGATTATAAATATGTATAATAGGTAAAAACAAAAAAAAATGGAAAGAATAGAAAAAATATAAATAATAAAAATAAATAATACAAAAAAAATAATAGAAAAATAAAAAGAAAGAAGACTATTGTCTTGAGAAAAATGAAACAGAATAATAAACACAGTCTTTTTGCGACAATGAAGAAAAAACATTTCTAAAAGAAATATAATGCATATAATGAAATAATAACTGAATGAATGATTTTAAACAAAAAGAATAACAATAATATCTATTCAATTGACTATTATTCTTTATTATTTTCAAAAGAATCAATTATTAGAATCGTTAATAATCGTTAGGAAAAGGTAAACAAAAAGCACTGGAAAGATTTGTTTCAAATTTTTTAACTAATTTTTTAAAAAATTTGCTTACCTCCACCAGAAGAAAATTTTGTTTTAGCTATAATAACAAAAAGTCTGTTTTGTCAAGATGCTAATTTTATTTACATTCTAAATTTCCTTTATCGACAAAAATTTTCTATTTCTCCCCCACCATTGGGAGTGTGTAAAAACAACAATATAATTTTTTTACTATCGAAACAGTGGCAAAATAATTTTTATATTTAATATAGTTTTTATTTTTTTTTATTAAATATTTTTTATATTTTGTGGTTTGTCGAAAAAAACAATGCGGTATCAAATACTTTATTGTGTATATAAAATTGCGCAGATTTGAAACATAAACAAAAACATTACGTCTTATTTTCACGTGTATAAAATTTCTTCTTGGTAAAGAGAGATTTGATAATAAATGTTATTTGCACGGCTTTGCAATATAAAAAAATTAGCTGCGTTCTTTTTTTTTCATTACAGATATATGACGTTCTTTTTCATTAAACTATACAATGAATTTAATTGGAAATTTTAAAGAACTTTGTTTTCTCAAAAATTATAATAATTCGAATTCTTCTGAAAATAGTTCATTTTTTTAAATATTTATTTAATTAATTACTAAAAATAAAGGAATTTTAGTTAAAAACGCTAAAAAAATTGAAATTTGGAGAAGTTACAAATTTTATTGTAAGAAATTCAATTATATTCAAAAGTAATAAAATTATTCTTTGCAAAATTTCAATTGTGTTTAAAAATTTTTTTAAATTCTTTTCAAAATTTCAATTATCTTTATAAATATAATAAAATTCTTCTCCAAAATTCAATTATTTTCACAAATAATACATTTTCTTTTATGGGAATTCAATTATTTAAAAAAAATTGGAATAAAATTCTTCGCAAGAAATCAATTATTTTCATAAATATAATAAAATTTTTCTCGAGAATTGAATTATTTAAAAAAAAATTGAATAAAATTCTTCACATGAAATTAATTATTTTCATAAATAATAATATTTTTCTCTGTAATTCAATTATTATCAGAAATAAAATTCTTCACAGAAATTCAATTCTTTAAAAAAATTTTTAATAAAATTCTTTGCAAGAATTCAATTATTTTCATAAATAACAAAACTTATCGCAGAATTTCAATTATTTTTTGTACAATTTTAAATTGCATTTATTAAATATTAATTTTTATCTTAAAATTTTTTTTTAATTCGCCGAAAGAATTCAATTACCTACGTTTAAAAATTTTGATGAAATTCTTCATAAAAATTAAATTTTAAGAAATATTCAATTATTTAATAAATTATTTATTTTTGTATTTAAATAATTGAATTCTTGAAAAATTTCCTAATAAAAATTGATTAAAAAATGAATTTCACTTAAAATTTTTAATTATAAATGAATATTAAAAGCATTGTATAGCGTGAATTTTTAGAAATAATTGAATTTTGAAAAGGGTTCAAATTAAAATCTTTGGAAATTTGAAATTATAGTTACAATATTCTGATGATATAAAATAATGATTTTATCACTCTGCCATCTTGAATTTGCTATAAAACATGAAGGAATGGATCGATTTCTTAATGTTTTATAATAAATTATTCTCAAAAGTTATTGAAATTCAGAAGGTTTGAATTTAAAAATCTTAATTTCTATAGAGTAATGATTAAATAGATATTTATTGAAAAAAAAAGTTTTTGGTATTTTTGAATAATTTTCCAATTAATGAAATTTTTATAAAGTAAATCGCAGAATATTCGTTAGGGTCAGGGAAAAAGGCAAAATCAGTCAGGAAAAAGTCTGGAAATCAGGGAAAAGTCAGGGGAAGACAAAATTTAATTTAATTATTATTGAGTTTTTGGTAAAAAATGTAGTTTTAAATATCTCGAAAAATTTCGTTTTCTAATCTGGAGAACCTGGAAAAGTGATGAAATTTCAAATAACCAAAAGCGTGGCAATCCTGATTTCATGAAGAAGTTTATTAACTCCTTAATTTAAGAAGGAGTATAAAATTCGAACTCCTTAAATTTGACTCCTTTTGCTTCAACTCCAAAAAGGTGACGCGAATGTTTGATAGAACCCCATTTGGAGTTAAAAAAAGAACTCCTTTTTTTACATCGTACAACTTGCTGTCACGAACCATTTCTTCAACGATCAGAAACATCAGAAATGAAATAAGAGTCTTCATAATATACTTCTATAGAATTTACAGAAATCAGTATGAATCATCTATGTGTAAAAAATGTCTTTATTTGCCCAAATTTGAAAGAAGGGGGCCTGATCTCTCTGGTGCGAGATTTCTCCGCCAATCGAATTTAACATTTCTAAATAAATGAATAAAACGTCACTGGTCACCAGACGTTCTCAGACTGTTTAAGACTGTTTAAGACTCACAAACACACGTATCGTGCGCTCGGTCAAAGCCGATAAGTTTTGCCTTTATACTTGTTTCTATTCAGTTTGATTCAGTTTCACTGAGGCATTCGTACGAGACGTGTGTATTTGGATATTTCCCTTTCGCTTTGTTATACACGCGCTTCGGGCCAAAAGTCTATGCGCACTTAATTATATACTATACGTATATGTACAAATAAACAAATACAGCGTATGCTAATTAGTTTTATCCAAGTGCCTGCTCTACCTCTTTTCTATAATATAAACAATATATTTCAAAGTGCCATGTTTTGTGATAATTCTTTTGGAAAAGAATTTTCTTGAAAAGTTTCTTGAAAAGTGAAAGAAAAGGAATGATGTTCCAATAGTTGCCAATTTCAGAGAAGAAATGATGATTGTTTCGTAATTTAGAACGAGTCTTTCATGGAAACGAGAATTGGGAGCAGTTGATTTTCCACTTACGAGAACTTTCACATCTGTGAGTTATTTCACTTTCGGCATTTATCTCCTCTCTCTCTCTCTCTCTCTCTCTCTTTGTATACATAGAGTTAATTTTTTCAATATGCAAATATTTTGTAATTCTTAAAAAAAATTATCTTTTCTTACCTCTCGTTTTACGAACAATTTAATGATTTTTCTATATACATACATATTATGAGGAATAATCGTTGCGAAAACGTTCTAATCTTCTAATATTTTTGTTTTTTGTTATAATATATCGAAGATCTTACAAATGAAGAGAAATTACGAAATACTAAAAGAAATAGTAAGAAAGAATACTAATTATTCCAAATTATGGAATACCTATATTAATTATTCTTAAATTTTAATACCATTTTTTTTAATTCTCAACTATTTTAAAAACTGTTTTACTATTATTTATTTTATCTATATTTACTTTTATTTACAATTTATTTCACTATTAACTTAAAAGTATCAAATTACCACGAACTGATAAAAAAATGTGGATACAAAAAATTTGATACTTTCAAGAAAACTGTATTATTACTTATACTGTTACTATTTTTATTATATTTATTTATATATTTATAATAAATTTATAATTATTTATTTATATAACAGTTGTATAATTATAATAATAAAGTAATTATGTACTATTAATATTTTTACTTTATAAAAAATGTTATTTACCTTAATTTACATTAAATTTTTATGTTGAAAATAGTTATAATATTATTTTTATAGCTTCCTCGTGGAAGCATTGTTTTATTTTTCTTATCAAGTTTTAGATAAATTTAAATAGCAAAACGTACAAGGTTCATATTTTCTTTATGGTGTTTAAATCACCATTGAAGTATCATTAGTTTAATAATGCGCGAATTTTTCAATGATGAATAAGGTGCAAGTGAATCATTCCCGATTTATATAGTCTGATAAATAATTATGACTCTCCATTTAAAATTTAAAATTTTATTTTTGAATTTTAATTAAATTAACATTCTAATAATTTTTTGTTGACAAAAATATAATATTGTTAATTTAAGAAATCATTTCTTTTAACTTTTTAATTCTTCTTGCTCTCAAATATATTGTTCTCCATAATAAATTATAATGGAAAACATAATATTTGTTCTCCATTATAAATTATGTAAGATTTTATTTCTTTTAATTTTTTAATTCTTCTTGTTCTTAAATATTTTGTTTTCCACAGTAATTACACAGTTTTCCACAGTTCCAATTTACAAAATATTTGAGAACAACAGTATAAATTATAATGGAGAACAAAATATTTGAGAACAACATTATAATTTATAGTGGAGAACAAAATATTTAAGAACAAGAAGAAACAGTAAATTATAATTGAAAACAAAATATTTGAGAACAATATAATTTATAGTGGAGGACAAAATATTTGCAAACAAAAAAGAAAAACTCTGTTCTCCACTAAGAAGAATAATTTACAGCACACACATAATAGGAAAAGTGACATAATTTTCTTTTAATGAAACATTTTTTTCACCGATTACACAATATTTCATGAAAATTTTATAGATGACACGTTTCTTCAAAGCGAATAATTTCCGTATGACGTTTGGGAAAAATATATATATATACGTAGAAATAGTATAAATTTTTCTAAATTTTGTTCATTCATTTGTTGCGTTTGTTTACTTTATATTAGAAGCATATATGACGAATTAAGCTGAAGAGTAAAATTACACCGGTTGAAAATTTTTTAAACAATAACAATGTGTATATAATTAACAACAACGAAATTGAAAACAATTCGTATATACGTATACCTGATTTATCAAAATATTTACTTGAAATTTTATATTGCGAAACGTATGAGTCACGTGCATTTGTTATTTTGTTGTTGCATTAAGAAATTTCATTCACTTCAAAACAACCCAACTATTATAATGATTATGAATAACAATAAAATGTTTATTATTTTTTTTATTTTATTATTATTATTATTATTATTATTATTGCAAAGTAAATTTTATATTTAATAATAATAATTGGTATTATCAAAAATTATTATTATTAATTATTAATTATTATTATGTAAATGAGAATCTATAGAGTGATATTCTTAGCAAACTCTCAAGTGTAAAATTAAGGTAAACTTTGAAATGTGCGATAATTAAAGTGAATTAACGTGAAGATAATTAACTTAATAATATATGGAGACTTCCTAATTAAAACACACACTTGCTTTATATGACATCGGGAATAGTTGGAAACCGCAAATTTCAAATTCAATGCCAAGTCCATGATCAAGGGTCACAAGTTGGAAAAAAGCCAATTAAATTTATGCGAATTTTTCATCTCTGTAATTTATTGATAAATATTTGGTCGCATAGAAAGATAGGTCTAAAATAGTAAATATTTCATATTTTTTCAAGCAATCTAAACATTATCGCGCATTCAGTGTTCGAAATATTATAAACAATATTTATTTGTTTATCATAATATAAAACATAAAACAACGCATAATTGTGAAGAAGAATATTTTCCTCTACTTCAGGGGTGAATTTAACTGTAAAATATCTTTAGAAAATAATGCTTTCTTAATAAAAGGGCAAATAAGTTAAATAATAAATTATTTAATAAATATAAAAAACATATATTTACCAAAATGAAGAATCACAAATATCCCACATGTTTTATATTAAAATTGTTACGTGAAATCCTGACTTTCCCTATTACTATTACATAAATGTCTTCTAACTTGATTATATATTACATGAGAAAATACAACATATTTGCATATACATAGCTTAATAATAATTATAATAATAATAATAGTAATCAACAATTTATACTGATTTACAGTATATATACATTATTGATTTAAATTTACTATGAACAAACGGTTTTAAATAATTTTCTATAAGTAGAAAAGAAAAATCTTTCCATTTTCTGTATAGTTGAAAGCAACTGACAAAACATAATAAATATATCTAAATTTGGTTTAAAGTGATGCAATGTGTATACATCTGTGACTTCATCCCCATTTGGTTGCCGGAAGTTTTAACTAAAAATAGACGTAGTATAGTGGAAAAGTCTAAGCTCAATAAGACTCTCGATAAATTGTTATAAATGCATTTAAAGTCTAATGCTCCCCACTTTTTTTTAACAAATTAATTATTTTTTCCTTAAAATACGAAATAATAAATAATAATATAAAACAATTCTTCCATATTCTCTTCGAACAAATTATTATTTAAAGAAAATGTAAATATGTAAATAAATATTTATTTACCTAATAAAAGAAAATAATTTTGTATTTTATTTATTATTTTGTATTTCTTCGGAATTATTTTATATTTTATTTTTAAAAAAGATCATAAATATTAAAAAAAAAATCATTTCTACTGCGATAAATTATTAATTTTATTGTTTATTATATATTCAAACAAAAATAATATACAATTTTGAATATATGTATTTATAGTATAAAGAAAGTATAAACCCACGCTTACATGTGTAAATGTAATATTCGAGGTGTCTGCGGCACCGTTTTTTCCTTTAGGGTCACGGAAGGTCTCACGAATTTTTAGAAAGTCTGCGACGATAATGCACGTGTCAAATAATATCCAACATTTTTTTTCCCCTTCGAATTTCTCAAAACATTATTACAAAACATAATTTAATGTTATTTTTTATTATGTCCCAAATTAGTAAAATAATAAATAAATAATAGTAAACACTTTAATAATAAAAATAATATTAACTGTATGATAATTTTTACAACAACAGTAATATAATAAAGAAGTGACAGTTTACTTTTTTGTATCGTAAGCCTATATGTATATTGTTTAAATAAATTAATAATAAATATACCCTCAGAAAAAACTTACTTTTATATAAATCTATTTTGTTGTATAAACCTTATTTTAGAGTTTTTTTTTGGCTTTAAAAAAGCTTGTTTAAACTAAATTTGAATAATAATTGTCTAATTTAAATAAAAATTTGTTTAAATTTCGTAAATTTTGCGTTCGAAGAAATAATTTGGTCATACCTGAATACCGTATATTATGAATCTTTCACAATTATAAAAAATAAATAAAATGTATTAAAAATAGAGCAGTGAATTTCTTCGATAGAAAAATTTTCTCTAATTCAGAAATTCAAAGGAAAACCGAAAACTATAACGAGAGCAATGAACTCACGCAAATTGATTCGAGATTTTATATATATCTATATATTTTTTTCTATGTACGAACATGTGTACTTATATACATATATAAGTTTTATTCCCAGGCAATGGTCGGATTTATATTTAGATTTTATTTGCCATCAAGTGGTGTATATACTGCATATATACCAGTTTGGTCCAATTATTATGAAAGAGACATTTATTTTATTCATCCCTATACATATTATTATTATTATATATATTTGTGCCTTTACATCAATACTGGTAGCATTAAACATAAAAAGCATAGTTGGTATACATATATGAAAATTTAATACAAACGAGTTGGATATGTTTGAATCAATGATCCAATCAAAGGAAGCTCACAAAATGTTTCTACGTCAAAAGTGCATAATATATTTATTTAAACTTGCTGAAAATGTCAATGATTAATTAAAGCGTCAAATAAATGCCCATGAGAATATTCAAATTGAAAAAAACTCTTTCGACAATCATTATTATATGACAAATCATAATAAAAAATTATAAACAAACAAATGAGACAAAACGCAAAATTTAGTAAATTGTAAATGTTTATTTAAATCGCAAATAAATATTTATTTAGTTTAAACTTTAAATAAATAAAAAATTTTATTATTAATATTATTGTTATTATTGTATAAGAGGGGTCTATTATTTATTATTCACCAAGTGTTTGAAAACTATAATTTTCTGAAAAAAGAAAGAAAAACTCAAAATAAGAGTCACTGAATATCCGGTTATGGATCTTGAACTCTTGGCATGTAATTAAGAAATTTTTTGGCGAACCGTAACAAAGCGGATGAAGCAATACAATCTCAGATGACGCAGACATTAACATTTGGCTTCTTTCAAATACTTATATCAGGAAATTCATTTTATTGTCTCTTCTGATTTAATCCAAATTTTACAATACCTTTAGATTCAGACTGATTATAATGTATTCACTGTTTATCAATATAAACATTTTATCAAAAGATGAATATTCTCTCTTATATAGCATTTATAAAAAAAAACAACAACAACAATAAAGATATATAATTTTCACGGGAATTTTTCTTATCGAAGAAAATACTTTGTTTTGTTGATTAAATGCTTCTGAAGATGATGAATCATATTTACATAGTGATAATTATAATAAAAAGTAGATATATCCCCTCTCTGTCAATGTACATATTTATTGTATATGATAATAATTTGTTTGAAATAAATAATAAAATTGATTTAATTTTTGGTTTTCTTAAACTAATTATTTCGTGTATCTATTCAAAAAATTTTGCTTTAATAAAGAAACAAATTTTGTCTTTTTAGACAAATTGATCAAAAGATAGTAAATTTTGATGACAATTTTTTATAAAATTTAATATTTATTCGTACTAATTCTCCCTATTTTTGAAAATAGATAAATAATTATTAAATTAAATAAGAAAATTACTAAAAAAAAAATACATAAAAGATAAATAAAACAATGAAAAAACAACAAAACGTAAAAATCTTTGAGTAAAAAATAATTTTAAAAAAATATATAATTTGCATTATAACAACAAATTTACATACATATATAGTACAATACGTACAATGTTGAAGAAGTGAACAACAAATGACTAATATACTATTTGGCAAGGAAATGAATAATACATTAATAATGCATAAACGTTAGGTTAAAAATTTTTTAATGTATTTTTCACACGCTCATCACTTTTTTTCAAAAAGTATTTGAGTTGTCAACTAAAAATATAATTTCTTTCATGAAAAACAATATGATTTTTTCTACAATAACAGGAAACAGTAAAATATAATAATCAAGACAAATTTAAATTAACATTTTTCTAGTGAAATACTTAAGAAAAAAAATAATTTTTATTTAATTCTCGGAAGAAAGAATTAAATGAAACTCAAATTTTTTTTATTTTTGGACAACGTTTCAATGGAAAAGAAACCTTTTACTTGAGAAAATTTTTTTAATTATTATATAAAATAAATAAATTAGTATAAAGTGAAAAAAAACACTCATAGAAATTATAATATTTTCTCTGTGACCTATAATAATAATAATAATAATAATGATAATAATAATAATATAATTTAAAGAAAAAAGTTGAAAATAATTAAATTTGACACAATTGAAAAGTACCTATAAATTAATTAATACTTTAAAATTACATGTAAAAAATTAGTTAATTAATTAATAATTCAAATTTATGAATTATAATAATAATTAAAAAATTATTAATTATTTTTCAATAAAAATGACAATAATAATATAATAATAAATATTAGTGTAATAAAAATAACAATTATCTGCACATTTGACAAAATAATTCTCAGCTTGTTATCTGATTTTAGTGAATTGTACGGAAATTGCCACAATCGTAAATTTTGATTTTGTGCCAAAACACAAAATTCTGAGGCTATTTATCATCAAGAAGGAATTTTTTTCCTTAAAATATATACAATTCCTTTCAAAAAATATATGTATATATTTTTACTAACATTAAAATATTATATAATAGTAAATTATTTAATAAAAAAATTATCTATAATATTTATAATTACAAAAGTTATGTGCAATTTAAATTAAAATTTTTTTTAATTACAAAAATTATATAATGTATATAAAATTACATTTTACAGTTTTGAAAATAAATGCAAAACTTTTGGCAACAATTTTTTCGTAATTCCTAGATAATTTATTACAGTACAATAAATATTTTTAATTTTTTTACTATAAGTTTGATATTTAATTATAGCGTTTCTCTATAAAAGCGGAAAATTTTCAAATCTCCTCGAAATTAATTTATTAATTTAATATGCACATAATTTTGAAAGTTATTAAAATTTGATTATGGATGAGACATGTATACATTGCTCGTATAATATCTGTACACATACAAAATAATGTGAATACATTTAAGAAACAAAAATCCAAATTGAAAATAAATTTATCTAATTAAAAATTCTATATTAATTATAAATAATTTTATAAATATAAAATTCAATTTTTAAATTATAGAAATATTTTTTCTATTACTAATTTAGAAAGAATAATTAAATCAAAATTTTTTTAATATTTAAATAATTTAATTTATTTAAAATAAGAATATAAATAATTTTTTTTGTTCTGAAAAAAATATTTACGATTTTAGTTAAAATAAAAATTAGTAATTTAGTAATTTAGATTTAAAAAAATTGAATGGACTTATAATAATTAATTTTCAAACAAATAAAAGATACGTTAGAGAACTAGAAAAAAAAAAAACTTTTGACAACTAGAACAAGATTAATGTATACGTATATTATTTATAATGATATGTTTAATTTTTTGTTATGACGGAAAACTGGAAAATCTTGGTTTCAAAGTATAATTGCAAGAAATCTTTGTAAAGATTAAATTCACGTAATCATAAAATGTGTGTAAGCACTTTTTTTATTCAAGGTTCAATGATCAACATTTTTACAAAGAAAAGTAAATACATTGAGAGCCTTGAGAAAAATTTGCCCTTTACATTAATTCAATAGGTTACCCAATTTTCACTTACGATATTAGCAAATAGAAGAAAATGAATATATGTAAATTTATGTAAACATAAAACTCAATACAAATACATATTATAAATTTTAAAAAATAATTTATTTATTTAATTATTAATTAAATATTATATAATATTATACAAAATATTAAATTTATTATCAATTAATTTTTTTAAAATTTAATTTCTTTAAATTTAATTTAATTAAATTAATTTAAATGAATTTATTAATTTATTAATTAAATAATTAATTAAGTTAATTAAAATTTAAGATAATTAATAATTAATTTTAATTAAAAGTATGTCAATTGTCGATTTTAGAAAATAATAAAGTAATTATTTTTATTGTTAAACTTGATTTTCCAGTTCGTCATAATAATAAATGAAACATTAAAACCAGATTTAATTTAGGTCAGTGTATTATAAGAAAAATACGTTTTAAAATAAAAAATCTCATTATATAAATTCAATTAAAGTGATGAATTAACGAGAAAAATAAAAATCTTTTTTGTTTCAGTTCAAATTTTGCCGCTCAAGTGGCAAGAGACCACGTGACTGTCCCTTTTATTGACCGTGAAGTGTCCTGGGTTTTGATTGGCTCACTGCCCACGTGACCGAGTGCACGTCACTTTTGGCGTCTGCTGCAACAGCAGCAGCAGCAGCAGCCTTTGTCGAAACCAAAAGGAATCTTTAAGGGACAAAGGATTCGAGTTGTTTCTTTTGTACATTTTCTTCTCCATCACAGTAACAAAGAATCGTTTCCTTCGTATATCAAAACGTTCACCTGGTGAAGTTGATCGCGCGTCTTCATCGCGAACAAGAATAATTAATCACTGTCAAAACTACTTTATCCGGTTGTTGAATAATTTTTTTTTCTTGACAGTTCTGCAAATATATTTGTCATCATCGCAAGTGTGGTGTTTAAAATAAAATAATCTACTTTCCTGTTAAAAGGATTTTTTAAATTTCTAAATGAATCAATCAAGTGAAAGTAACTGTTGACACACAATAGATTGCTGGCATTGAGAATTCTACTGTCAAAACTCAATAAGATGAGGAAAATTGAGTGCAATTATATTTTTTGGAGCGTAAAATAGAAACATTTTGCAATTATTGTAATATTTGTAATTAACAAGAAATTCACAAATAAGATTGAAGGAAAGGGAGGATTTTTAATAATTGAGACGTGCATTTGTCATGTCTCAAGAAAATTACTGAGAAATTAAAATCTGACACCTGCGACGAAAAAAGAATTATTAAAATGTACAGCATGAACTATATTGGCAAGTTCATCAGTAACTTTCGTGATTTTTACAATGAAATAAATGCAGCAACTTTGACTGGGGCAATTGACGTTGTCGTTGTCGAACAACCTGATGGATCGTTCACCTGCTCGCCTTTTCATGTCAGATTTGGAAAATTGGGAGTTCTTCGTTCTCGCGAAAAAATTGTAAGCTATATTTTTAATACTACACTTAATCTTGAAGAAAATTGTCTTGGAGAACAAAAAAGAACTAATTTATTTACACAGAGAATTGTCCATTAATTTTTTTTATTTTGCATCCAACAAAGTTGAGTACAAAAAAATTAATAACAATGTTGATAAAAACAAGTCGCTTTCAAAAGATCCTAAAATAAATTATTTAAAATATATCAATAGTGGTAGATAGTGAGTTTTTTTTATTTTAAACTATTTTCAATTATTTTGGATTAATTCTCAAATTTTTTATTTATTATATTTTAATTACTTTCATGTAATTCCTATTTATTTTCAATTATTTGTAATTTTTTGTTAATTGATGACAATTATTGTACAATATTATCTAATTATTTTGTTTTTCATTTCAGGAATTGTATCATTTATATTTTTAAATAACTCCTACATTTATCTTTGACTAAAAAAAAATTTAAATAATCAATTTCGAGCTTGTACTAAAAAAAATGAAACTGAAGTTACCAACGTTTTTGTCGACGCAAAATGATAATTTATTTTTTAAAGACCAGGAAGTAAATAATTTTTTGAACTTAATTATTATTCTCATTGCATCCTAAATAAATTTTCAATCTAATCGCGACAAGGAAGACAATTAATTTAATTTCGTCGGCGTAAACTATGATAACTTGAGTTTAGTTACAAAAAAATTAGAGCTAGAAAATCTTAAAAAGGAAACAAGACAACGAAATGAGATGTACTAAAAAAAATTCATTATCTTTAATATTTTTTAATAATTTTATTAAATATTATAGTAAATTTCATTACCTCCATTTAAACTCAGTAATTTTTGAACTTTGAACTGTATGATAACAAAGGCATTATTTGCAGATAATTTTTTGATTGTACTTGTTCCGTCTGCTTAAGCGCAATTGCATAAGTGAATGCAATATAACGAGAAGCGAGTCATGAAAATAAATTTTCGTTAAAAAGTTAATTTAATCAATAAACAGACTTAATTCAAAGAAAAAAAACATCCAATTAATTAAAGTTGAAAATAATTCTATTTAATTATCAAGTGATAAATTTCATGTAATTAAAAATAATTGGATAATACTGTAAAATTCCCTTCTTTAATTAATAATTAACTGTTTTTTGAAAATTATTAAGAAAAAAAAATTTCTTTTGTCAAAGGTGGACATAGAGATAAATGGAGATCCCAGGCAAATTCATATGAAACTCGGAGAATCAGGGGAGGCATTTTTCGTAGAAGAAGTGAGTTCCAGTGGATGCCCTTTAGATTCTGAAATCCCACCGCATTTAGCATGTTCACCAATTCCAGACGACAGTTGCTTTCCGCCCGTCAGGTATATTTTCTACTCATTTTAGTTTATTAAACAATAAAAAAAATATTCAAAAACAAATTTTTAATTCAAATTCTTTTTTTCTCTTCAGATTCAATTTACTGTCGGAACTCCCACAGGAGCAACATGAAAAAATTCTCCGCGATTCGGTATTATCAATTGAGAGAGAAAAATGGGAGCAAATGTCCGCCTTGCCACCAGATCAACGTGAAAAATTCCTCGTCGAACAATTTTCCGATTTACCATTAGAATTACGTGAAAAATGGCTTCAAATTGCATCGATGACATCCGAGGAACGTGACAAAATGTTTAAAGAATATTACGAATCAATATCAACAACACAAAAGCAACAAATGATTCGCGAACAATATTCGGCATTAAAAAATGAGGACAAAGAACGATTGTTTAAGGAGAATTTCCCCGAATTACCCACTGAGCAAAGGGAGAATTTCGAGAAGGCATTACTCACCGATTGGCAGGAGCCAAAATGGGAAACTAAAGCTAATCTAATTAAAAATGATAATAACGATGAGGATGAGGAAATTTTCGATATGGACGGTTTGGATGGTGAACCAACGTCCATTCCGGTTTCAACGCCAAAATCATTTATAGCCGTGACATCGACAGATCGAATTCGTAAAATAAGTGTTGTTAATAATGATTTTCGTCCAATAATCGATGATCCACAAAGTAGTAGCAAGGAGAAATCGAGTGATGAATCTAATACATCGTTGACGAAGAAAATTTCCAAGGACGAAAGTATTGATGATACAAAGGGTGGCAAGAGAAAACGTAAAAGAAGAAGTGTCATGAAGAAGAAAAATTCGCAGAGAAAAGCGAGTAATGGCAGTAGTAGTCAGGCAGAAATGAGCGAAAGTGATAATCTAGTCGTTGAGGAATCGCCGAATGACATTTCGAAAAGTTCATCGACTGAAATTGATAATTCCGAAAACTCAATATCTACAGTTCTTGCTACTTTCAAAACTGAGACAACAACAATACTTCCAGAGACTGATTTTCACTTTTTTAGTGATACGGAAGTTACCAAGTGAGTTTGCTCAACAGCAATTTTTCATTAATATGCCTTGCGCTTTATCTGTTTTCATTTTTATTTTCTCCTTTTATTTCGTTTCGCTAATTGTTAGTATTTTTCAGTTTTTTCTTTCAGTTTTGAACAAAAAAACCGAGTATACAGTTTTGGAGTTGTCGATCTTTTGGTTTGAACTTTCTTTTCACAATAATTGTATAAAGAAAAATACTCTGAAAAAAATTTATTTCATTCAAGTAACAGATTACTTGTCGATTATCAAAAATATACTTGAATCAAATAATTCTAAGTCAATTAAATGATATTTGCTTCAAATACAGAAATTATTGGTCCAAATAACATTTAATTGATTTTTAAATAAAAATTATTTGATTCAAGTAAATATTTATTTGACAATAGACAAGAAATCGGTTATTTGAATCAAATAATTTTTTCCCCAGTGTATTAAATTATTTCTCTTATATCGAAATATTTTTAATTAAAGTCTTATGAAGTAGAAATTTGAAAATAATAACTGAAAATAAATTTACAGTTGATATTTTCTCAATTTCGATTTTTCTCTATGCAGTTGACGGGAGAGAATCTGAAAACAAAAGCGACAAATATTCACGATACACTGCACTACGACACTTAGCATTTTGTGGTTGTAATTCTTTTATTTTTATTTTCACCCTTAAAAGGAATCGGGATTCCAGGCCATGCTCGCCCGTACAATCGGATTCAGAGTTTGAAGTCCGCAAAATATCACTGGAAACAACCGATTTGGATGGTGACAAGAGTCATCAGAGTTGGCGATGGGGCGAATTGCCAAGTCCACCACCAGACTCTGCGTACAATTCTCACAAGAATTCAATAATAAATTCGACTGTTCAATCATCACAAAATAATGACAGTAAGTATTATCTTTATTCTTCAAAATCATTGTTTTTTTCAGTTCTCCCATCTCTAGGCCTGTGATCGATTATTATTATTATTATTTTATTAGAATTCATATTTAGTAGAATTAAAAGCTTGTAGGTTTTTTTTAAGCACTTATTCACTTTTTCACCTCTTTCTACTAACCATTTTGCTAACCTGCTTTTGAAATGGTAGCAGAGGCACGTCGTTCTATGCTCAGTGGCATGTTCTCCTTCATGAAGAAGACTTCTCGCGTAAGGCACAATCCAGAATCAGAGGGGATTTATCTTAGTGATATTAAAGCCGATGAATTGGATCCCGAAGTTGCAGCTCTCTATTTCCCCTCTTCCCATCGTGGTCCTTCGGTTGTTAAAGGTATTCAAAAATTAAAGCTTCCTCCTCTGCCTTTAACACTTTTTCTTAATCGCGACATTTTAATCATTTTTTTCTACTCTATCGATTCCACAGAAGGATTCTTTTCATTATTTCTCTCATTTTCATCAATTTTTTTCTTTTTGCAATATTCAGGGCTCGAATTAGGTTCGCAAATCCCGTATAGGTGCGTAAATTTGCTCGAAGTCCGGAAAAATCAGTTTTTTTTTTGGAAAAAAAGATCCGTAAAGTCCGTAAATTGATTGAGAAAAGACGAAAAGTTCGTAAATTCTACGATATAATTTGGAGAATTTTAGAGAAATTACAAATGATTGCAGAAATTCAATTACTTTCAAAAGTAATAAAATTCTTCACAAAAATTCAATTTTGTTCAAAAATTTTTAAAAATTCTCATCAAAATTTCAATTATCTATAGAAATAATTAAATTCTTCTTCAAAATTAAATTATTTTCAAAAATTTTCCTCAATTCAATGATTTTAAACATCTACTGTTTTAATAAAATTTTTCAAAACAATTCAATTATTTAAAACAAATTTTGATAAAATTCTACGATTTTGTAAAATTGAATTGTAAACAAATGAAATTGGAAATTCTCAATGAACTTTTTCAAAAATTCTTAAAAATAATTCACTTATAGAAGAATTTTAGTTAAAAACACGAAAAAAAATTTAATTTTGAAAAAGTTACAAATTATTGCAGAAACTCAATTATTTTTAAGAATAATAATATTCTTTGCAAAAATTTAATATTGTTCAAAAATAATTCTTAGGGATTATTAGGGAGTCGAAGACTCGGAGTTATCGATATCTTCATGTTTTATAGAATTATGAAAAATTTAATTTATAGTTTTAGGTATTTTTGGTCCGTAAAGTCCGTATTTTTAAATACTTTCACTAGTTCGAGCCCTGCAATATTTAATACACATTTAATCCAAAGTAACAAACCCGTATTGTGAAGAAAATTTGGTAAAAATTTATTTTTAGAATTTTGTATTTTGTACATGAATTAGTTATTAATAATATTCTAATGAAAATAACAAATAATCTTTATTATTGTCCCTAGTAAATTCGAAACATGAATTTTTGTTATTGTTTAGAAGGAAAAACATTAGACGAAGAAGACGCGGAATCTGGTAATGGTCCAAGTTTACCACAAAGTCCAAATAGTTTCGAGGGCGTTATTGGAGGGCCAAAATCGCTAGACAGCGATTTTGAGGAACCAAAAAATTCCCTATTTGAAAATATTGACGTGAGTCTCTCATTGTGTGGGGGTCTCGAATCAGAGCATGGTCCATCGGACATTGCTTTTCATCAAAATCAATTGCAATTTGAGGATTTATGCGCCGATCCAAAATTATATGAGAATCCAAATCTAACTGTTAAAATAAATGGAAAATACTATAATTGGACAACGGCTTGTCCGATAATAATGACACTGGCTGTATTTCAACGGCAACTACCTCAATCGGCCGTTGAGGTTTTGTATTCTCAATATATGCCGATATTAATGCACGACGATAAGAAAATGGAGAATGAAACGAAGCCAGAGGGTCGCAGTAGTTATAGTTCTTGGTTTTCATGGCGACGATCCACTCAGCCACCAAAAAAGTCCCAAGAAATTAGTCAAGGTGATTTTTCAATTGAAAATCAATTCAATAAATTTCGAAAACCAGAAAAATGCTATTTATTATATTATTTAATTTTCATTCATTTTATATTTTTAATTTCTCATACTTTTCTAATTTTACAATTTACAATTATTTTAATTTTTAATATTTTTGAATTTTATATTTAAAATTTTTATTTTTGCAGATGAAACTGATGCACTTACAGAGCAAGATAATATTGAGGCGAAAGAAGAAACAGTATTAGATGAAACTGATAAACCAAACGAAGAGTACGTATTTGAATTTGCAATCTGGATTTAAATTTGCAATTTTACATATTCTCTTTTCTTACATAAAATTTATATTTTTAGAAAAATAAAGACTGCGGAACCAGTACAAGTAATAATAACAACTGGTGATGATAAAATTGAAGCAACAGTAAATATTCCTGATACTCATAAGGAAATAAGTGTCGTGAAAACGGAGAAAGAAAATGAGAAGGAGGGCGAGAGTTACAGTGGCAGTGAAGATTCTGACAGTAATCAAAATAAAACGCCGGGTATTAAAATTCCAATGGAAAGGAGACCCTATTACGAGGCTACGGAAAAATACAGAAAAACTCTCAGACTCTCCTCCGAACAAATTGTGAGTTTACTAATTCTATATTGCAAATATTTTTCTTCAAATTCAATTTATTTTTTATTCACTTTAGTAAAATTTGAAAATTGTTCTTTTACACTTAAAAAAATTAATCTCTTCTTTATAATTATGAAGAAGAAGGAAAAATAGAGAACTATTTATTTAATAAATTCGTCAAATTGCAAAAAAAATGAATGAAACAAAAACATAAAATTGAAAAAAAGATTCTTAAGAATTTTTTTATAAAGTAAAAAATAATAAAACCTTTTTTTTAATTGCTTTCTGAAAGTAAATGAACTAAGAATGAAATATTAAATTTGAAGGTAACACTCAACTTGAAGGAAGGTCCAAACGAAGTGGTATTTAGTGTGACGACAGCCTATCAAGGGACAACGCGTTGCAAATGCCACATTTATCGATGGCGATGGGACGATAAAATTGTTATTTCAGACATTGATGGAACAATAACGAAATCGGATGTTCTCGGTCACATATTGCCGATAGTTGGAAAAGATTGGGCGCAATCTGGTGTTGCTCAACTTTTTACCAAGATTAAAAATAATGGCTACAAACTACTTTATCTATCGGCGAGAGCAATTGGCCAAGCGAGAGTTACGAGGGAATATTTAAAAAGTATTAAGCAAGGTGATTTATCATTGCCCGAAGGACCATTGCTCTTGAATCCGACAAGTTTAATATCGGCATTTCATCGCGAGGTCATTGAAAAGAAGCCCGAGGAGTTTAAGATTTCCTGCTTGAGTGATATACAAGCTCTCTTTCCCGAGGATTCGAAACCATTTTACGCTGGCTATGGAAATCGTATCAATGTAAGAATTATTTTTTTATTTAAACATTTTGCTTTTTATTTTTAACTAGCAAATATTACGCGCGCGGAACGTGATGTTCAATTTATTATTTTTATGCAAATTACAACATTTTTTATTTTCAAATATGAAAATTTTTGAATAATTTCAGATTCAAACATCAAAATAAAAAAATAAAAATTTTGTTTAATAAAAATTTTATTATTTTCTATTATTTTCGAAAAAATTCAATTATTTTCTAAAATATTAATAAATTCTTTGTAAATAGTAAAATTCTTTGCAAAAAATAAATTCTATTTAAAACAGTTTTACAAAAGAATTATATTTTTTTCCTAATTCGTTATAAAAAATTTCAATAGAATTCAATTATATCTTTTAAAATTTTAATAAATCCTTCGAAAAATTCAAATATATTTATAAGTAGTAAAATTCATTGCAAAAATTCAATTATTTTTAATTTTAATGCAATATTATGAAAGAATTCAATTCAATAATTAAATGTTCAATTTCAATTATTAATAAACACGATTATTTTAAAATCTTCAAAGAAATTGTTCATAAAATTTTTTTTAATACCTAATTTTGAAAATTTTATTCAAAGAATATTACAATTTTTAAAAAATCTTTAAAAAATAATGAGGATTCAATTTTACTTAAGATTTTAAATATTAGCGATAAAATTTCACAATGTGTTACGAAATTTAAATGTTCGGTCTTGAAAGAAATTTCGACATTTGTTTTCAAATTTGTTAGAAAAAATAAATTGCCCCATTAAAAACTAGTCATAATATGTAAATTATTGTGAATTTCGTAATAATTGAAACTTTTAATTTACTAATTAATACATTAATAGTATTAATTACTAAAAGTTGTTAATAATTAATTAATTACTATAAGTAATTAATATTTCTACAAGCAATTAATACTATTACTTAATAATAATTAAATTAGGCATTTAAAATTTTTAAATTAATAATTATTGTAAAATGTTATAAAAAATTTTGCTAAAATCATAATTCTTGATTGGGTAATTAAAATATAATTATAATAATTTATGTTTTCTTTTAAAATTAGGATGTTTGGGCCTATCGAGCAGTTGGTATTCCAATAATGCGCATCTTTACAATTAATCATCGTGGCGAATTAAAGCACGAATTGACGCAAACATTCCAATCATCGTAAGTAGTCTTTAATTCCATTAATTAAATACAGAGAAAATAATTTTCATTTATTTTCTCCTTATTCTATCGAAATAAACTTTTAATTTTACACAAGTATATTTAAAATTTAATTTGATTATTTGTCGACGCAAATAAAAAGATAAAATACTAGGAAATCACAAACAAATATTAAATATGGCAATAAAATACGTTTTATGAAAAAAAATAAAAGAAGAAGAAAAAGAAGAAATTAATACTTAAAAAAACAAGGCTGCTGAATGAAAACTTGGAAAAGAAAAGAATAATAAATTTTCTTTGAAAAAATAGGTATTTGACAGTGTGGGTTATTTGTGTGTTCACAGCTATGCCTGTCAGAGCAAAACTGTCAATGAGTTGTTCCCGCCACAGTACAAAACTGAACAAATATCAACTTTTCATCGATGACAACTAGACTCGAGAGAAATTAAATAATCAGATTAGCAAATTTATTCAAAAAGAAACTCAAAATATCAATTTTTATGATTTTAATTATACGAGCATTTCATAGAAAATAATGCAAGGAAAGATATTTTAATTAATGATAGATGAAAAAAGAGAGAAATATTTTTATAAAGTTATTTTTTTAAAAATCAAAGTATTAAAGAAAATAGTAAATTATTTTCAACAGAAGTATTTTTTTAAAATACCCAGTCGTATTGAAGAAAATTTTAGAATATGATTAAAAATTCAAAGCAAATTGAGGTCAGAGATCTGTTTTTATTTTAAGATCCAAAGTAGCTCTTGTGAATTCCTTTTTTATTCGTTTTTCTTTAAAAAAAAATGACGATGAGTCGTTTCGTTATAAGCAACCACTTCTGCCTATCTTCTTATAATTTAATAGGGTAAGCACTTGTTAGTATTTGATTTTCTCATTTTGACAATATGCTTTTTTGCAGAATTTAGTTGCTCAAGTTTCCTCTTTTTTTCATTCACAAGCCCTCTTCTTTTAATTCATTTTATTGCTTTCCTTTACCATTAATAACTTTATATATTTTTTCTTTCGAGTTTTCAATATCAACTTTTATGACATTTCAAAGCTTTGGTGGATACTAAGTTTTTCGACTAATAAAATTGCTAAGGAAATTTAATATCTGGCAAAATTATAAATATCAACAATCAAAATTTCAGAAATACAAAAAAATCTGAAAAATTAGTCTTTTAAATTATTAAACTGACAAAATTTGATAAATTTGTACGGTGGATTTTCTAATAAATTGTCAGAATAATTTTCTTCGAATATTAATTAAAGTGAGAATAATTATTAATATAGAATAATTATTCCTACTTGGATGCTTGACATTTTTACTTTATGGAGAATTGGAAAAAATAGAAATATTTAGATAATTTGTGCAGTTTTCCTTTTTCTAACAAATTATGAAATAATACAAATTATTATTTTTTATTGAAACAACTTTTTCGGCTATTTGCATTTTTTCAATTTCTAATGAAATAAAATGTTGAACAAAAATTATACGTTTTGTTACGATTGCTAAATATTGTGATAAATAAAATTTATCATGTTTTCTAATTATGATTTACAGTAATTATTAAACCAATTAATATTGTCATTTTTCCTACTGTATCTAAAAATCAACATGGCTGGAGACATTTAATATCGAGAATAACAATTAATCATTTTTCTTTTTTTTAGAAACTATTGGAGTTTTGCCACATTCATTAATTATCAAAAACAGCATTCTGTTTCATAAAGGCGTCAGCCTTTTGCTCAGAGATAAAAATTTTAAATAAAATTCTCTTTTTTCGTTTCAGATATTCAAATATGAGTTTTATAGTTGATCACCTCTTTCCTGCTTTTCGTGAGGACGCGGCAGATGAATTTAGTCAGTTTGCTTACTGGAGAGAACCAATAACAGAAATGAATCTCGATTCATTGGTCACTGATTCTCAAAGTACATCGAAAATTGCTTCTCCTTCTTCAACTTCAACGTCATCAAAAAAATAAGAAAAAAAAATTATACATTATCTTCAGTTATTAAGTAGCTTTGAGAAATATTTTTTTCCTTAAAAAAATGAATTGTATATATTTAGTTTCAATTTATGGTGGATTTTGTTTTTTTAATTACTGCTATATAATTATAGTTTTCGTCTTTGGTGTTTAAATGCAAAACACATTCCAAGGCAGGTGATATCAGAATTAAATAATATAATTTAAGTTACCGACACTGGCTGTCTTTAGTATTAAGTTTTTTTTGTTGACGTAAATTTTGGTGCCTAATTGTAGTTAATGTGCCTAGCAATGTGATCACAATTTTTCATCAAAGTTTTAAGAATGAAAAGGGAATAGAAAATCGTGAAAATATTTGTTTTTATGAAATTTAATAATAGATGTGGACAGTTAGAAAAAAGGTATCAGTTTATGACAAAATGCACTTAGTTTATATTTAGCAAAAAAAAAAAAAATCTACATATTTGAATGAAAGAAATAGTACACTGACTATTATTAGGATTTATTGTAAAATGACTGTCTCAGATTTACTGGATTTATTGTTTAAAAAAGCAAAAGTCTAGTCCTTGCCAGTGATTTAAATCACGAGACCCATATATTTTTTCCCTTGATAATTTTTTAAGTTTAAAAAACCTGAAAAATGTGTGTGATAGAATTTAATATTTTTTAGACATTAAAAACGATTCCTTTTGCAATCACTTTAGTTTAATTTATTACTGTGCGATTTGAATTGCTTTCTGTTTTTTGTATTTTTTACAATCTTTATGTAAAAATTATTTATTCGCTCCATTTTTTTTATGAAAGTTTTTAAGCTACGTGAAATTATGTATTATAAATATTCAAGCAATGAAAAACGATTGAAGAAATTTGTGATACCCGATCAAATATTTTTATATTGTAATTTGTTTAATTTTTTTTTCTTCCGCTTGTACGGTAGCATTCCATTGTACCTAATTTTTACAGAAAGAAAAGTAAAGGTGGAATTTAGTTTTGAAAAGAGATTTAGAAAATATTTGTTTCTTTTTTTTGCAAAGTAAAAATAACTTTTTTATCAATGATGGAAAAAGAAAAATATTTGAATTTTTTTCACAATACAGCTAATTCTATGTAATGGAAAATAAATATAGTAAAAATAGGGTACAAATGCATTTTACCAAAGATAGTACACAAATCAAGCGAATATCACTTTGCACATATGGAAATGATAAAAATTATTGAATTTTATGAATAATTCGCTGGTCGATTTGTGTTTGCTGTTCTCATATATACAATACTCTCCTTTCATCAAAGTGCAAATCATACGCGTTGTATTATAAAAATCGTTTCCTCTAATTTGTATAAGAAACTTATTGGAATTTCTAGAATTTTGTCTTATATTTTACTCTAGTTATGTGCTACATGGTATAAATACATTTAGTTTCTCTGAATTGTCATTTTTCTTCATTCTTTTCCCTGACAATCACAATTAATTCACAAGTTTTCAGACATGACAATTAACTTTTCATTTCAAATAAAGTATAATTATTTTAAATTCTTTCATTTAAAGGAAAAGTAAATTTCCATTTCAAATAAATTTATTTATTTATTTGAAAATTATATTTTGCGAAACTATTTATAACCTTTTTTATATAATTAACATTTTCAGATGTTTGAAAATTAATTTTAAATCAGATATAATTTATTTTCTGCTTATACAAATTTTAAAGTTTATTTATTTTTATAGAAATATATTTACTCTGTTTATTCGTTTTTTAAAAATAATTTCTTGATCAATCTTGATTATTTAATATTGATGTTTTACTATTGAGCCATCGATTTTTGCTCTGAAATGGTAATAAGAAAGTTAATGAAACAAAAAAATAATTCAATGAAAAATCTTAAATTTTAGAAACAAATATTCAAACAAAATTTGTTATTTAGAATTCAAATATTCGTTAAATTTTCCAAAATTACTTCGGTCTTGTTCGTGAGTTCATTACACCTTGTGCAAGAATCCATTCCAATGTTTAAAATTTCTAAAGAATCAACTGAAGTTTCACTTCTTCGTTTAGGTTTTAATTTCGTTATTAAAGATCTTTGTCTTCTATTAGAATATTTGCCACTTAAAACAACATACGTTCCCTAAAATATAATAAAAACGTTTCACAATTAATTACTGGGTTGTTTTTACTTTGAACTGTCAATATTTGAGAAATTAAATTAAATTACAAGAATAAATGTAAATATCCAAATAGAAAGAAAAACCCATGGTAAACTCAACATTTTTTTTTGTCTAATTTATATATTTATAAAAACTTAATGTAAAAAGTACACTTAAAATTTTTATTTCTAGTTTGTTACAATAAAAAAATAATGAAGTGAGTAACATTTGAAATCATTTGTCATAGATGAATTTTTTTTACGAACAAATGAATAAATTAACTTCTTTAATGAAATTTCTATTACTGTTCTATTACTTATTATCATATTAAATTTATTAATTTAAATTTCAAAAGAATTTTAACTTTATAATTAAACTCATCTTTTTTTTGTGAAAAAAAAGTAAAAAAGAACTGAAACATATCGTGGAATTAAAAAAAGCGTAATGAAACTGCAAAATTAATTTATTCGTAACTTAAAAAGAAATTAATATTATAATCACGTATTCTCCTCATCAATTTCCATTTCCCTCTCAACATTTTCTGTATTATCTGTCTTTAATTTTTTATATCCATGTTTTTTTGAGTAAACTCCAAGAGGTGTTAATTTAAATGTCGCTAAAGCTCTTCCTAATAATTTCTGTAAAAAAATTCAACAATTTTACAATAACCCGCGAATATAATTAAACTAAATTTAATTTCTGATTAATGAAAAAATTACCCCAAAAAGGGTAAAAATATAGTCATTTGTAAAATGACGAATATAATTAAACTAAATTTAATTTCTGATTAATGAAAAAATTACCCCAAAAAGGGTAAAAATATAGTCATTTGTAAATTAATTTACTTAAACTCAGGAATATTGAAAAAAAATTCCTCTCAAATTTTTTTCAATAATCTTGAACTTAAATATTCTCACATTGGAAATTCAACTATTTTTGAAATATTATTTTGGAAAATTATTTCAAAAAAGAAGAAATTGATAAATAAAATTTTTAAATACTGAAAAATAAGTGAAAAAGGGGTGAAAATTTTAAAAATTGGTCAAAAAGTGACTGTGATACCTGAAATAATTATTTAAAATCATTAATAAAAATAAAAATTAGAAGGATTTCTTACGAGAATTCTTGCTTGTTCTGGATTTAAAGTCTGCCCATCTTTACAGACTTCGAATTCCTTAACCAGTGTCACTACACCTTTTTGCAATGACGTGGGCATTCCTAATTGTCTCAAATGTGGCTCTATACTATGTGGAAAATCTGGCATTGGACCTTCAGGTAAAATTATTGTCTCCTCAGTAATGAATCCCGATCGAGCAAAATCTTCTTCTCCGTATTGCTCCATCCAATCCACTACCTATAATGAAAAAGAAATAAATACATTTAAAAGTCATACTAAAATATTATTATTTATTAATTAAATAAAATCTCATTAAACATTAAATAAAATATTATTATTACTAATTAATTATATTATTAATGCTATTTAAATAATGATTAAAACTAGAAAACATTTTCCAAAAATTAGACATTGTAAAAACCTTTTTTTTCGGCCTATTTGTAAAAAGTAAACCACATTGTCCATTTAGGGCATTTGCCAATTTGTGAATACCATCAGCAACTTCCAATTCCGAAGATTTACCAAAAGCAAGCGCCATAATTTTATTTTTACCAAAGAAAAATCTACTGTCATTCCATTCGGAACGTAATTCTTTTAGTTTATTGTTGCGCATATTTTGCACAGAAAACAAAAAAATACGTTCATACTTTTCCACACTGGATCTTATGTCTTCGATAACATGTTGCTTTAATTCGAGACCTTTTTTCTTTGTTTTCGTAAGGGAAACTAAAACAAAACAATTATTTTATTAATTAAATTTGTAGGTTATGTACACTTACGTGCAATAAAATTGTGGATGAAGTTTAAATTCTTAAATTCAGAATATTTGATAAATTAAAAATATAATACCACTTAATTAAATTAAAGTAGTGGTATAATTTTAATTAAAATATTAAAACTAAAGGAAAGAAAAAAAATATTTATAGGTTAGGTTTAGTAACAAATTACTTTATAGTCCAGAATTTTAATAGAAAATTATATTTTTTTGATTAAATGAAAATAAAATAATACTTACTTTTCTTATCCCTCTTTGATTTAGGCATAATTAATTAACAATTATTCACAATTACAAAAATTAAAACAAGATTATGCGATTTAAAAACACGCTGTCAAACCATGTGCTTTGGAGTTTGTAATTAACAAATAACACTAAAGATAGCGCTGCGGTAGGGCTGCGTTCAGAACACCAATTATTCTTCAAAATGTTCAAAATTAAAAACTATCCATTTTATTGTTATCTATAAATATTCCTTACAATTTAAAAACAACTATTACAACTATTAATTATTATTATAACTATTATAAAACTATAATTATTAAAATTTTCATATTCACAATTTCGAAAATTATCTTTAAATTCTATTTGACTAAAACTAAATTTTTACTTAAATTGAATACTTTAGATATAAATTTATAAACATAAGAAAATATTGATATGTAATAATTGTGAAAATTATTATAAATATCAAACATTTGGTTTAAAAATGAAATAATTCTAATAAATTTTTTGGAGAATTTTGAATAACCGGAAGCAGTTTCTGAACGCAGTCCAATATGGCGGTTTCCGCGATCGACGACAGTGCACTCCGCAAGATCGTAGTAGACGGGAGCTGTTGAAGTACGCCGAAGCCGATTTTCCAGGCCACTAACTGCACTCAAAAGGTGAGTTTTTATCTAAATATTGTAAAAATCATTTCTCAAACATATCTAAAATCCCCGCAATTTCATTATTACACGACTCGTCATTAATAAACCAGTGAAAAATAGTGCATAGTTCTCCGTATCCGTGTGAACCCCGTAGCCTGTAGTCAGGCGATCCACGCCGATTGGCACTTTTTGTCACATCGTATTTCGTCTTTAAAATTGAATAGAAAACAATACATGTCATATTTCTCTATTATTTAGAATTAAAATCATTCATTTCTCCATTTATTATTGTCAATTGTAATTTCTTCTTATGAAATTCTTTAAGATTACCAAGTAGTGTTGAGTTATCAAGGATCAGAGCGGGTTCGTCTGAAGATAGTCGCTTTTCATGATTATGACGCACGCGACGCTTAAGGGGGTGAGAGGAGTGTCTTGTCGCCATATTGTATATTTCGCCGGCGAAAAAATACACCTTTAGGTTTTTTTTACGTTTTTTTACACGTGAAAAGAATGCAATTGTCACTACGAGAGTGAGTTTGGGAGTAATTGATAGGAATTTATTTTGTTGACGATTGTTAATTAAGAGAATTCATTTACGTTAAATAGTAGTAGATTTAAAAAAACACCCATTTTTACATTCATTTATATCCATATAAGGCGAGCAGAAATGGGAGATCGTAGGCCGGCGCAGATTCATTTTTTCCATTCTCCTTCAGGTTGATCACCCACGAAGACGAAAGAATCTTTTTTTAATTTCTATTCCCTTTTTTACTTTTTGTCCTGCTTTTTTCAATCTATATTTGATATCAAATAGTATCGATCCTCAACGTATTTGCAAAAAAAAATTTTTTTAATTCTTTATTATCTTCACAATAACTAATTTAGTTTTTGAATAAATTTAATAAAAAGAAATGTAACGAGAGATTATTTTTTACTTAGAACATATAATTCAGAAATTTTTTTATTTTGCCTTGAGAATAAACTAAAACTTTCTTTCGTTAGTTACTAAATTTAGTTACAAATTCCTTTCGTTAGTTACTTTTAGTTTTCATTGTTTTCTAAATTCTTTCCATTCATTTCATTTTTCAAAACCAAACACTTTTATTACCTAATTCTTATTAATCGGAAAAATATTCTACATTGAAATTATTTTTTTATTTTTTTAGATTTTTGGAGTAATTTTTAACACTTACAGAATACGATTAAAGTGTAAAAGGGGTCATTGACTGCGTGGGTTTATAGAAAGTCAGATGTATAAATTTGTTACTCACATTTTTCTATTCATATTCTTCATGTAAAATTTCTAATTAATTCTTGAATGAAATTGATGTTTTGTTTCTCTTGAAAGAAAACACAATTTCCAAGTATCGGAAAAGAATTAACAAAAAGAAAGATTGTATAAGAAGTTTTAATATATAATTTCTATGTAGGGGGTTTTTTTTTACTGCACTTTTTACAATTTTTTATTCCGGGGTTTGTACATCAGATTCGTGATAGCTTAACATGAATAATATATAAAACGTGAACTTCTTGTTCAATAGAAGAACCCTTATTGAAAATTTCCATTCTTATTTTATTTTATATTATTGTTGAAAAAAAAGAAAATTTTGTTATCTTTTTTAGCATTTTAAACCTTTTATTTATCTTCAAAATAATCTCCAAATCTAAAATTAGTAAAATACTACTAATAGTAAAATTTCACCAATTTTTAGTCTATTCATGGACTATTGCCTATTTTCTTTAGTAAAATTTGACTAATTGTTAGTATTTACTTATTGTTTAGTACACGGAAAAAAATATAAAGTAACTTTTATTACTTTTATAGTAAAACATTTTAAGCATTTCTGGTAACTTTTACTACTTTCGGAGTAAATTTTGCTACGTTCAAAGTAAATTTTACTAATTTTTACAAATCTGTTCTTTGAACGTTGTAAAATTTACTTCGAACGTAGAAAAATTTACTCCGAAATTGGTAAAAGTAACCAGAAATGTTTTACTATAAAAGTAGTAAAAATCACTTTATACTTTTCTCCGTATAGAATTATTTCACTCAGTACTAGTCATCTAATTCACTAAATAAATTAGCAAAACTGTTTTATCGACTTTTGATAAAACAGTTTTACTAATTCTAATTTTACTAAAACTTAACTGATTGTTAGTAAATTTATTACTAAATTATATTTGAAGCTGACTTTTTGTCATTTCATTATAACTTTTTATTAATTCAGATTTCGAGAGATGGCTATTTTAAATTCTGAAGAAAATAGAACTTAATTGAAATGACTCGATTAAATTTTGAATGTAATATTACAAAAATAGTTGAATTTACAATGTGAAAATATTGATTCACGTCCAGAAATATTGGAAAAAAGTAACGAATTCTTTTTCGGGAATATTCACAAGTTTAAATTAATTTAGTCTCTGAATTTAAATTACTGGATTAAAATAACTAATTAGTACCAAAAAAAAATAGTTAAACTTGACTCTAAATTGGATTATTCAACAGAATTTTTACTTATTTTAAGTCTCTGAAGTTAGCGTCGAAAACTATTATTCGCAGTTTTTAGAGATGAAAATGTCACTAATTTCACTTTTTTCTTCACAGAGAAAAATATTAAGTAACTTTGACTACTTTCTGAGTAAATTTTTCTACGTTCGAATTAAATTTTACTAATTTTTTACAAATATGTTCTTCGAACGTAGCAAAATTTACTCCGAAAGTAGTCAAAGTTACTAGAAATGTTCTACAATAAAAGTAAAAATTGTAATCAGAGAAACTTTACTGGTAAAATAGTTGAATCAATAATAAGTTCACTAGCTTTCAGTATCTATTAATACAATAAGAATTTCTGGTAACAAATTCAATGAACAATTCAACTTTTTGTTTGTTTTTCTACGTAAAAAGAAGAAATCTTTAACTAGAAAACCAACTTTGTCATTGTGAAATGTTATTATTTGAAATTTTGAAAAAAATTGTGTGGGACAGTCGCGTCCTTGCTTATAGAAGGTTCTATAAGGAGGAGGAGGAGGCGTTTAAGGTATTCCTTAAGGCGTTGATTCCAACATGCGCAAATTAATGTAATCAATTACGAGGACAACACTTTAATAGGTGTTTTTTGCCTCAATAACTACTTCATATTTTTGTTCACTTGATTATTATATGAAAATATATTTTCAAATCGTTTTGAAATTTCAAAAAGAGAGAAGAAGAAAAAGAGAATTTTGAAATTTAAAAATTTCATTTAACAAATGTTAATTGACTTAAATGAATTTATTTTCCAATAGATAATTATTGTAATCTCAGTATAGATAGTTAATTAGTTTGTTTATCTAAACATCTATCCATTAAAATTGTTGAGCAAGACAATTAAGATTGAAGAAAAATGTTTAGAATTCTCCTTGATATAATATATGTGGAAGTGAAGAAAAGCGGGTTCGCGTTCTTTACAAGGTCATTTCGTTCATTGGATTTATATACGTATATATAGGTTTACGTATAGTCGAAGAAGGTTCTTATCCTGTCGACCCTGCATTCTTCTATCCCACGCTAATTAAGCGTTAGCCATTCATTTTTCACGCCCAACGATCGCTAAACTGACCGCTTGTAACCCCAGAATATTGTTTGCTTTCAGCGTAGCGTATGCTTTATATATTATGCTCCAATTAACAAAACACTAACGCATATTAATTGACGAATTGATACAAGTAATAAAAGTGATTTTGTTTCTTTCCATTTAATAGAGTTGTTAGCGTTGAAGATAAAATCATAATTATAAATGTCGAGACGCATGAATTTTTTATTGAAATAAAAATCTGGCATTAGCAATAGTTTTCGGAAAAGTTTTCATTTTGTAATTTTTCCGAGACTTTTTCTATTATTTTTCTAAAAGAAATGATTTACTCGGTACGGATTTTATTGCAAATCGATTTCTGAACAGAGAATTCATGTCATCAGAATTTTGAAATATAGATGGTGTGGCACTATTTTCTCTTATCTTCACTCAATTTCCATGCAGGAAATATTGATCACTCTTCGAGTAACAGAATTTTATATAAAAAGAAAACATTATTTCTTGTCTCACATCACTAAAGGCTAAATCATTAATTTCAATAAAATATTTTTATAAAAATAATATTAAATATTTTTTTAAAAGGAATAATTCTTCACTTGTTCTGTAGGTTCAAATGAACAAAATTTAATATTTGCAAAAATTACTGTGACTGTTATAAAAATCAAAATTAAACCTTTATAATCTTTATAATTTATTCTTTAACATCTAACCCAATATTTTCCATTTCTGTTAAAAACTAAAAAGTAATTTTTACAGTGTCTTGTATAGATTATAACCGAGTAGAAGGAAAAGTTACTGAAAATTCATATAAACTTTGTGTAACAACTCATTAACAAACTTTTTCTAAAGTGACTTTAGAATTATATTAAAAAGTTGATGTTTTATTTTTATTTTTTTCTTTAGAATTAAGAGCTAAATTTTAACTTACATTTAATTTTTCCTTATTTTTTCGATT